GTAACAGGCTCTATCGTTCTCTCAAATGATGCTGATCTGGGAAAGAAGTTGGGAATAGAAGACACAGGCAGCAGAGCCACCACATAGAAACAGCAGACCAATCTAGCACAAATGCTGGAGAAGATGCATTTCATCAGTCAGCTAGAGTCACATTTAGTTACTTTTGTACCCTATCCTTTCTTGTTTTTAAAAGACATCGAATAGCTGTGTTTTACAATAATAATGAAGCATTACCTTCATTTTCTTGATAAATACCAATCTTTGAAGTTTCTCATTAACAATACCCCCCACTTGCTACCATAGGGTTCATTATTACCCCATTTCTTCATTCCTCTTGACTAAGCTTCACAGCAGTGGACAGCAAAGAAAGAAGGCGATAATTGTTAACTGTTTATAACTTCTCAGAAAGCCCCAAGAACTTTCACATACAAATAGCCATGAAGCACCCTAAGTCAGCTGCAGAAAAAAATGCTTCCTAAAAGACAACTCCAGTTGACAGTGCTGCTCACCAACCCCCAGGCCATGTATACTCTGCCATTGGATTTAAACTTTCTATATATCTCCAGTTCGAACCCCTCCTCCCCCTTTTTTACATTAATTCTTGTAGGAAAAAAACTTGAAAGACAACTGCAGAATCATAAACAAGGGGCGGGGTGTTGTCCTGGTTTGCTAGCATTTATTTTTTTATATTTACATTACTAAATGCCCAAGCATGCCCAACTCCTAGGTAGTGCTTTTTAATTTAGCAGGGTGTTGTTCACAACTAATTTGAAGTATTTGTACCAGTGGAAAAACTTTTCAGCATTTCTCTTATCTCTGAGCACACCTTTCTCAGGCATTTTGGAGCTTTAGGACTTGTTTTGTATTTGTAGTGTGGAAGGATATTCCAGTTCAGAACTGTTTTCTAATGGGCTGCCTCCACCTTTTAAGTGTCCTTGAAGAGGAGAACAGATCATAACTTTAAACAGCATCAGTGTGGTAGAACTGCATGACAGACACAAGGGAATTATTTCAAGAGGTCATCTAGTCTACAGACAGAAACCTACAACAGATGCCAGACGACATGCACATGAACATATTTTGACCTTCATGCCTCAGAACTGGAAGCCATGCAATCTGAACAGAGTGATCTGTGCAAGCTCTTAATTAAAGACCTAGTACCAGCTGACAAGCTTGCCAGCATCTGGCCTCCTTGGGAGGTAGCATCTCCCAATTCTCAAATTTCTGCTCTATTTTAGGAAATAAAAAATACCGCTTGGTACCATAATTTTGAAAGTGTTACCATTCCCGGATCTAGGTTTTGTCCCAGAAGGCAGGATCAGTTGTCCCTGAGCCACTCTGGTCACACCATTGTCCAGTTTGCTTCCTCCAGCAATCAGGACATTTTCCTAGTCTCCACTGTCCTTAAATTTTAAGTCCTACCCAGCAATGGCAATTCCTCAACAGAGGCAGTGGGAAAACCCAAGGAGCACACCTCCTGGGCTACCAGGTGAAGCTGGTAGAGGTACACCTCTCCCTTCGGCCTTTTGTTTCCTTTGGGATGGGGTGGGCCACATCTCCCAGCCCTTAGGACATCTTGCTGGTCTTCATTCTTCATCACTAGTTTTGTTGGCTCCCTCACTGTCATCAACAGTGGATGTCTGGTACTTGCTGCTCCTTACAGGCTATTGTGTTTCCCACAGAGTAGTAATGCTCGTAGGGTAGCTTTGCCTCCTGTCACTTGGGGATCCCATTTCCTCCCCTTTTGGCACTAACCCCATGCTGGAACACTGCCATGATTGGTTACAGAGCAGAACTACGGATTCCTTCCCTAGACAAATCCCATGAGTGCTTTTGTGGTTAGACTGTTCCTGGATTCATTCCAACAGGCAGTAAGACCATACTAGGCTTCTCACCCCCTCCATCAAGCATCACCGTACAGCACTATTCTGTCATGCCAGGCACTCTCCACGCCTCTTCCCCCAAAGCTGAGGATGTCCAACTGTAAAACAAGTGAACTACAAGGCACTGTGAGGATGCTTTCTCTTTGAGAATTATAGGAAATATGAATTCTTATGTTTTTGAGAGGCTACATAGCCCCATGGACTAGGCCACCATGACCGCATTCCTTGAGCCATCCTAGACCCACATCAGTCACAGCTGCAAGAACCCACCTCACAGCTTCCATGAGATGCCTTCCTACTGAAGAATGGAAGCAACCTGCTCTATATGGGATAAGCTACAAATATCAGAGAATCACACAATATGCCAAGTTGGAAGGGACCCACAATAATCATAAAGTCCAACTCCTGGCCTTGCATCCCCAAGAGTCACACCATGTGCCTGAGAGTATCATCCAAACACTTCTTGAACTCTCAGATTTCATGCTGGACCACTTCCTTGAGGAGCCTGTTCCAGCACCCAACCACCCTCTGGGTGAAGAACCTCTTTCTAATATCCAACCTAAACCTCCCCTGAGACAACTTCTGGCCATTCCCTCAGGTCCTGTCACTGATCACCACAGAAGAGATCAGAGCCTGTCCCTCTTCTTCCCCTTAAGAGGAAGCTGTAGACTGCAATGAGGTCTCCCCTCAGTCTCTTCTCCAGGCTGAACAGACCAAGTGCCCTCAGCCGCTCCTCATAGGGCTTCCCCTCAAGGCCCTTCACCATTTTTGCTGCCCTCCTTTGGATTCTAATAGCTTAATATCTTTCTTATATTGTGGTGCCCAAAACAGCCACAATATTCAAGGTGAGGCTGTACAAGTGTGGGTCCACATATACCAATCTGACCCCAGGAACAGGGACACGTCTGACAAAAGTATAAGCACAGCCCACACTATCAGCTTTCAAACTGCTTTTGTTCCTTTATCTTCACAGGGAATAATGATCAAGGGTAGCAATTAAGTGATAACATGCAAGAACTCAAATTTTCAGAAAACCCTGCAAAACAAGCAGTTACGTCCATGTCGAAAACAAATCAACAAAATAAAAAAGATAAGCTAAATGAGTTGCAAGTCAAGCACAAACCAAACCTTTCCTTTTCATTCCCATCAGCTCAGCTTTTCCATAGAAATAACCTCTCATCACTTAGGAGGTTTCTGCTATCTATCTGCTTTTCTGTGTCCAAATGATGCTGATCATTAGCTAAATGAATGAGATACAACTACTGACCAACAAGCTGAAACAAAAATTTCAAGAAAAGACCTCCTGTTCTACAAGAAACCTTCAAGAAATCAGTAGCTTATCTTTCAGCACTTCTGGATCTCTGCTTTAATTTTATACACTTGACACAGAGAATATTCCACAGTACAAGCATAAGGTTTCTGAGAAGCTGCAATTATACTAAGTGGGACAATTATCTAATATTCTTCTCATTTTCCATACAGACAGAAGTGATCATTTAGGAATAAAGTCTGTTGTTTCTATCCTAAGATTGTATCATGAGACTACCCTATTTGGACATGGAATTATGCATGGAGCCATTACTTGCATTTCAGGAAACATTTACAGTATCTCAATATACCTCCAGATTTCTATGAGACAATCTCAAACATCTGATTGTAAACAAACTTACTATATGTCCATTAAGATCAGTAATTTGCACTTCCATCTAACATTCAACCACGCAATCCAAGTCTGTGTCAACAAAGAGGCACAGAACATTGATATTCAGATGAGGCTGCTATTTCTCTTTCCCCAGTTTTCCTAAAGCCTGGCCACGTTGTAACTGAATCAAAAATTACTTGGGAAAGAACTGAGAGATATGAGGCAACCAGTAAGGTGTCTAGATGGTCGCTTTCCTTTTTGGACACAGTACCAAAAAGACTTTTCATCCAACCCCTTTAAAAGATAATCAGGAAAATGTTTTCTTACTTTTAAAAGACACACTCCATCAGTATTTCCTAGTTGCCTAACTGTAGTTTTCTAGAGAATTACAACTACCACAGCAATTTATTTAGATAAAAGGTTTACTCATCAAAGTTGTAATATTTTGTATAATCATTTCAAGGGCTAAGTGACATAATGGAAACCATACAGAGGTCTCTTCCATGCCCTATTGTAGATACGTCTTTTCCTCCCAGAAACAGATGGGAAACTACATGTGAAATAAGCATCTTTCAAAGCCAAAATGAAGCATTCAGGAGAGATGCTTGTATTTAAAGCAGAAACTATGAGTTGGTCAGTAGATAGATTAAGATTTCTCTCCCTAGAACAGTTAAGAAACAAATTATGTTACTGTGGCACCTGAAAAAGAGTAAAAGGTCTGAGCTAGTAGGTTGTTAAATGGAACCATAAAACTTTGAATTCGTTCTCTAAAATATTGACATACACCAACAAATCAGTTTCAAGTTTCTTTTTGGTTACTCGTTCATTTTATTTTAAAACCCTCTATTTTATTTATAGGGCAGCTTTCTCCTCTGCATTTGTCCCTATTTTGTCCATTCAAAAAGAGGTGGAATTGACATACTTTGTAAAGCATCAGTACCTGGAGAGAAAGCTCTGAATCCAGTGAGGAAGAACTCAAATATGATGAACTCTACCCTGTCCTACTAGTTTGTACAAGCTCCAATCTAGTCCCACCTACAATTTGTCAAGCCCAGCACATGTCAAAAAAAACACAGGAGGAAACTGAGGCTGCTATGGGGTAGAGGAAAGAGGTGTAAAGCACACAAATCCATCTGAAGCTTTGTCTTGCTACTTGGAGGACAATTTTCATTTTAATTGACAATTCAGACCTACCTAACATGCATTTTTCTAACCATTTTGTGGGTATCAAAGTTACTTCAGATGACACTACAATACTGACCTGAAGTGTTATTGTATCTTAAATAGTATCGGTTTTAGCAGATAAACCTCAAGATGATTCTTAAATGCTCTGTCAGAGTATACTACAGCCTATGAGTAAGCTCTCTCTATGACACTTAAAGAACGGGCTTCTACAAGGTTTATCTCACTACATACAACGTTTCAAAGAAAAACATTTAAGATCACATTGATTAAGATCACACTGTTTTCAAAAATATGGTATTTTAAAAAGACTAACAATTTATTCAATGTAAATGCAACTTATAAAGTTGTGGAGTTGCAAATACACATTCAGCCTTTCATTTCTAGTTTTCTGCAAATTAATTTACTTAAAATAATTTCAAATCTACTGCAGTGTCAAATAACATCCAACCTCCAAAGTCACAGAAGTGAGATTTTTCACATCTGCTTAAAATTAGACTTCCCAGTTTTTACTACATTTATTTTTGATTTAAAACAAAGGAAAAAAACCCTGTAAACCATTACTTAACAGCAATTAGCAACAAGAATGGGTGACAACTGTCAGTCTGAAAACGTTAAGTTACGCCCTTTCTTACTGTCAACTTTTAGTTCAAGTATGTAAATAAATACAAGAGCTAACACAAAATTTGCCACTGTAAGAAAATACATTATATGCTGCATTTTGGAATAAAGTATCGTACAGTACTGGCTGCATCATCTGGGATACGTAATTGACTGCTTGGAACTGATGGTAAACAGTTAAACCTTTTCTTTATGTAGATGACTACTCTTTTACTCACCATTAGAAATTTGTTTTGTAATTAATTTTATGCTGCTATATTAAACTCCTAAACATGAAAATGACTCATGTCATTTAATAAAAGAAGATACCATAGGCACCATAATATATTTTTTTTTTCCTTTTTAAACAAAATCTGGTGATGAACCAGCATTAATAGGATGAAAATTAAAAGGCACATTCAGGCAAAAAATAATCAACACAGTTTGCATGATGCTATATTTAAAAAAAATAATTTACGATCTGAATAATAGATTGGATTGGAAACAAACGTTCTGGCAGATTTCAATCTGTCAGAGAGAAATAAATTTTGTAAAGGTGTGCAATTCAAATGACAAATATTTTTTAGTGTTGAATATTGTTTCATTTTAAGATCAGCATAAGGCTTATGACCAAGTGCTTTCTAAGAGGACTGACTACTCAAACTGTATTGTTTTCCAAGTGCATAGAAATACAATGAGCAATGAAGATATTCCTTTCAAGAAGACGTATTCTTCTGTATGTGCAAATCCTAATCAAGTACTTGAGCGTCTTTCAGGTCTTGGAACACATTTCATAATTGCAGCTCTCCACAGGGCAGGGGCAAGCAGAAGGCTTAGAGTAGTCACACTCAGAATAAGCAGATAGACCTGCAAAAGGCCAATAAAAGACATTACTTCTCTTGGTTACATGACAGTACTAAGAAGTGACTAGAAGTTTGAGGAGATCAGACTCTTCTGGACAGTATTTTTAAGAGACTTCACCTGTATTCATAAGTGACTTTGCATACTGCTACAAAAGCAAACAAAAGCATGCTTAAATCATCTTAATTACCTGTTTACCTGATTTGAAAATACAATTACAAAAACATCATTATGAGCTTATAGAAAAACAACTGTTCATATGTATAGTTAGCAGATGAATTTTGAAAGCTCAATATTTGCTAAGAAGTTGAAGGCCAAATATCACATTATTTAAAACAGAACAAGAGAAAACCCACCACCCCTCCAAATTATTCTGGCTCAATGATATAATGGCAAAGTTCACTACTATTCTACACTGAAAAGAGCAAACAAAAAATCCCTTTAAGTCATACTGAACATCTTCTGAAAAAAAAAAAGAACTACATATTCTGAATGAGTCTTGGAAGACAGTGGCAGGAAGTAAGTGTTGAGGTCCCAAGCAGAAGAATGACTTTAGGAAATTTCAGAGTAGATAATCGTGTAAGAGCAGAAAAAAATGAAAGCATAAAAGCCTTCAAGCTCAGTGGGTGGGCCCCTGAACTGGTTCTGTGATCACATACAGAGATCTTGAAACTCTATGCAAACATGCAATATTTGTAACTCCTAATCATATGCAGGAGCGAACATGAAAATGAATCACCTTTACCTACAAGCAAACAGCACTGTGTAAGTTTTTCAAACATGCTTTATTTGGAATTGGTTCCAGCATTATATTGCCCACTTGCTCACACAATGAAAAGCTCTGAGCACCAGCAGAGTATTTTTTGTAAGCAGAAGCACAGAGGGCAAAACAGCTAGCATTAGAAAGTGAGGTCACTTGTTGTATCTCTAACCATAATTTACTTAATTTCACAAAGCAGACTTCATCTTCAAAACAAAATAACATTCTCACAGCTTCAATATAAAACTAAGTTTAAGGCTTCTTTCCTGAGGATTCTTTTAATGACTACTGAAAACACTGGTTTTTTCTTCTGTAGAGGATCTAAAATGAACAAGCTTCGCAACAAAAACTAATTACAAGTTTATTGCTTACGGCAATTTCCACATCACGAAATCTGCTCTCTAGTTCTTATTTGCTGGTATTTCCTTCTTCAAATCCTATACTCTATACATATCCTATACCTTGTTCTGTATCAAGATTTTAAAAGCAAAGCCTTCTTAATCTTAGTGACTCAGTTGCTATCTCCAACTCACTGCTTAGGTAATAAAGAAGTTGTAAGTGAGAGCAGTTAAGGTAAAGCATTTATAACAAAGCTATTTAAAATATTAAAGTACAATATGAAACAAATAAAAAACAGCACTAAGAAACCTGTCAGGGACATACAAGTATCTTGTACCGGTTGATTCTACTTGTTAACAGTTTTGAGGTGCCACAAAATTAGAGTTTATTGATATTTCAAATACTGGGATTTTGTATTACAGTTCAAGTTGTTATTCAGGTGCAAAAAATGAAGTTAATAATATAGAACACCTTACCTCCCGAGATATGATCCCTGCTCTGCGTGCTCTACTTCCCAGAACAAAAGAGAATTCACTGACTTGTGCCAGTCCTGCTGAGACAATCCACTTGATATACTGGCTGGTCTTTGGAAGAATCAGAGAAAGGACAAGCACTGCCAAGACAAACTTTAAAAACAGGTTTTTTTGGGTTCTTGTGAGTTTGTTTTGGTTTGTTTAAATAAAAAAAAATGCAATAAATAAAATAGTACAAACTTTGTAAAATATATAGCATCAAATACCATAATTCTGGACATAACATAAATAATGGACTACTAATTGTGTCTTCTGTATTAATGTCAAAAGAGACAAAGGTACACTGAACAGTAAAAAGTAGTATTATGTTTACCAAAATAAAAACACTTGATAACTGTCACAAATCCCAAGCAGGATAAACAGATACTTTCCCATGTGTAACTTACTTTTAATAATACAGTACTTTTTTTTTTTAAATACCCTAAGAATATTGTATCAAACTGTATTCTAATCAGTAGGATTCCTCCAAATACACATTTACAGTAATACTCTTTGTTATATCAGATTATCAGTTCTTGCATAGATTTTCTTTAGGGCAGGAAGCACAAACATTTTTTTAAAATATTTTTAATCTTTAATAATCTAAATAGAGTAAAATAAATTACCTTCATTATGACCACAGACAGTGTAAGGAATAGCAAAACTGTGAGTTCATATATTACAAATGTGGGGAAAACATGAAGTCCTAGAAGGAAAGAAAAGAATATTTCAAAATTTGAGGCCAATATCTTATAATGGTAATTTTCTGGGTTAATAATATATATAATTACAAGACTGTATTCTCAAAACCAACCAAAGAGAAAGCCTTAGCAGCCTTAACATATCTACCAACTACTTGATCACTAAAGCCCTAACTACCTGCTTGATCATGAAAGCATTTCCTGCATTATCCAGCCATTTTTCCCTTGGAGGGGTTTAGCACAAGCCATATTCCCAGCTGAGTTAAGTTGTATATGAGTGACGCACGAGCACTTTCGTTTATAAAATTTTCTGCCTTCCACATCAGTCAACAATACAGAATCTGAACTGAAACTCACCTCTAATGAAAGCTATAAAAATCCTGCAGGAAAACAATTCCATTGTTCTGCACAGTCACTGTAATGTTTTTCTACTCATTTACCCTTTTTGTATGATATGGTAACAGACTATCACTGTGGGAGGAACATGATATTCAGTACTTGCATAGACTATACCTACAACAGAAATTGAAACTATTTTTGATTCCGTGACCCTCACTTCCAAACAATATAAGTCACCTGAACTGGAAAAGTCACTTGGACTGGAATCAGGTAAAGCCATAAACCCCTGAGCATGGTTTAACAATTAAGGAATTACATAAAAACCCCTTGCTCTGATATTGTTGGGTTTTTTTGTGGGGGTGCAGTGTCTTTTTGAGATTTTTTGCACAGCCCCCCCTTTTTTTTAAGTTTAATTTGGTAATTATATGAAGCAAGATAACAAGAACCACAAAGAACCCATAAATTTAAAACTAAATCTTGCTAATATTAAACAACAACAATAAAAACTAAGTATTGTTGGAGAAGTCCTAGAGTCACTGAGCCATAATCTTACTCGCAGCTGACTAAGTCCATTTTTTCCTCAGAGGGTATGAGGAAATTCTGCAGGCAAACGTAACTGTGAATCTTTGGAAGCTCATTCCTTTTTCACAAAAGCTTCTAAAACCAGAAAGCAAAATAGTGGTGGTGTTCTTGATAAATCCATATGAGTTGGCAGTTCTCCAACCCAATTATTTCTGGTGAAGGACAAAAATTTAGCTTTCTAAAGCAAAAGGCACGTAAATCAATGCTGTTAACTTCTTATTTTAATGCAAGACAAGGTTTCACTAATTTTCTCTGCCCTGTAGCACTGCAGAGGCAGAACGGTAGAGAAACAAGAGCTGTCATCTCTTGCAGACTGTGCAAGAAAGTTACTTATAGTAACTTCACAATGTTTTGTCCATATGCTCATTCCATTGCGGATGGAAATATTCTTCAAGTACATCAGAGATCTTTATACGAGTACCACACAGTCAGCACGTACACACCCCATTTTATTTCTTAATTTCCTTATAAATACTGAAGTGCAAATGCAAAAGACTATCCAAGTAAGAAGAGAAATGGCAAAAAAAGAGATGACCACACACACAAAAAAAAAAACCAACCCGCATGTATGCACAGATGCACAAGGAGGGGCAAGCAGTTTCTCTGTTTTCACTGTGTATCACATGCACACTGCTCATTCACCTTTAGGCCGACCTCAGAAAACACATGAAAAGCAATTAGAGAAATATAGCCCATAGCAATGGCATGTTTGATAAGAGGGCCAACTCTGACATATCTAGAACCTAAGGCTTCTGAGGGAGGCTATAAATATAACCTAGTGCTCTCATCACTCCTCATGGAACTAGCTGTTCACTTCTGGAGCAGTTTGAAGTCCATTTGAACTGCTGCCCAACATGGAGATTATTGCCATATTCCAAAGACCTGAGGCACAAACTACAGCAGATTTCTATACCAATACTGTGGAGGTGTCTGTGAGGTGAAGCAAGTCTAAACCTGTTGAATACACTATTCTGAGCAGACAAATCATCATCCCAGCAAACAGACTCTTTTTTTTTTTTTTTTGGTAGGAAATAGATCCCATCATAGGGGATTTTTATGGTCATTACAGGCGTTTGCCCCAGTCCCAGATGAAAACCTTGGATAAGGCCAGAACTCACATGAGACTCCTATACAAGCACATGAAGCCTTCCTGACAACACAAATGTCATCAGAAAGACTAATTTTACAGGCAGAAGGTGCATGAATATTAGCATTTATCACAATGGTTTTGACCAGATTTTGTGACTAAGGTTCAAAAGGCACTTTGGACCCACTTTCTAAAATGGAAGAAATGCTTCAAATAATTCAAAAACTTCAGCAGTGTTATCAGGTAGCACATGGCACACTGGCCAGTAGTCAATGGCTAGGATAACACTCAGGTACACCTTTACAGAGTTGATCATAAGCATCTGGACTTTAATTCTAAGCAGTGTTCTGAAATAGCTGAAACAGAGGCCTTGGGGTGATCTTGCATCAATGTCAGGCCAAAAAGTACAGTTCACTCCTGTAAGCTGGTATGTGTTCTTCTGTGGAAATTACAGGCAAGATTTTGCACATCCTTTTTATAAGTATTTTTTTCCTTCACAAGTAAACTCCCTCCTTCTCTGATTAAACAGATTCTACCAGTCTGCTGGATGGCTGCCAAACAGCACGTGAACATCCAAATGTCTTGACCACATCCTGGTAGATCCAACATCTAGAAAAGGAATCTTCGAGATCCTTGATGGTGAACGTTATTAGAAAAACCAGAACTCTGTGGGTCAAACTGGAGCCAGTAGAATTAATTCTGACACGTCCTCAAGACAGGACATCACTCAGAAAAATCATGTTAGCTATGCATCAGGATGCTGTTATCTACTAGGAGTCCTAATGAACCTAAGATCATAGCTAGCAAATGCAATAAATGCTGCAGCTCTGGCTAGGTCATTAAGTAGCAGAGGGGAAAGCCAACATTCTTTGTCTTTCTGCAAAGGGGAAAAGTCCTTTTCATTCTAAAGTCAGTTCTGAGAGCCTGAAACATCCAAGTTTTATTGTGTTCCATGCAGGAAAACAAAGAAGTAGAGCTGGATGGACAAGGAAAACAAAATGCAACCTAATGAATTCCAGTTGGGATCTTCCTTTGATTTTCCTCAAATTCAACAGAAATGTTAAGAGGCTTATCAGAGAATACTTGTGTGCATATCTGTTCTGGAGAGTGGTGGTGCTGACAGTGGCAGCATCACCCATCTTCTAAAGAAAAAGACCATGCTGTTAAAAGAGTTTTCAGCACCTTGCATTCAGGGTCCAACACTGACCACAAGATTTACCCAGAAGGGAAACATGGAGCCTGCTGAGTGAGTACATCTGCACAGCACGCTGGGAATGCACAACTTCTGTCAGCCACTGGAAGTAATCTGCCTCCTCATCAGTGGCAGAGAGGGTCCTGATGCCAAATTTCAAACTCCATATGCGTTGTAGACTAACAAAAAAATCGGGATGTTGGAGCTTTTAATAAAAAGTCAAACATTCTACTCTTCTAAAAAGCTATCAGAACAAAATCAAATTATGCAGGGGGAAAGATCTGAGTACTAGGTACCTAAACAGAAACGAGAAAGAAAGTTCTCAAGATATGTCTCTAAGGGATTGGTCCAAATTTTATCTCAAAACTATCAGTGAGGACAGAGACGAAGAGGAACTTTCTAAGCTCAGCAGAGGTTAGAGAGCCAGAAACCTTGAAGAACACACAGAGGCCTAAACGAATGTACAGATAGAGAGTAACTCCAAGTGCAGCTGTTAATGCCTAACTGCAAAGGTGTGTTATTCCCACAAATGCACCCAAGCGCAAATTTGAGAGCAGTGCCATTACACAGGTCAAGCTAAGAGCAGGTCCACTGCTATAGATAGTATGTGAACAAGTACTGCTCATCTCAGCTTTTAGGCACCAAAAGGATTTCTGTAGTGAGGACAGAAAACCAGGCATTTAAATAAGCAAAATAGGAATTACGTTTTCCAAATGACATCTTTACAGTCATTATTCAATTAAGTTAAAATTTTTTATTTGTGTCTTTATTCTAGAAGGACCAAAAATTATATTACTGCAGTGGTGTACCACCCCACCTCAGGATCTCAAGTGTTTCTACTCTCTGTAACAAGATGCTTGCTGCATATAACACCAAACCTGCTCTTTAGCCAGGGGAGAAGAATCTTTCCTATATAAACTATAATTTCATATAGTAAATCTCTATATTTTTATAGATACATATCATTTGCACATGTGCCTGTGTAAGTAGAGAGCAAGCAAGAAGTCCTTAAAAAGAAAGTCATTAAGAAAAAAGTTTAAGGAATACTTTTTATTCTACTCAGGTTTTCTTTGCAACATCACATCACTCTTTTTAAAACCTACCTCCTTGCCACTCCACAGAATTTCCTGTTCAGAACAAAATTTAAAAGTAAATAGAAGGGGAAAGGGCAGGCTAATTTTTGGGGGGAGAGGAAGGGGATTTTCTTTGGGGTTTTTTTAGGGTTTTGCATTTTCTTTTTTTGTTTGGTTGATTTTTTTTTAACAAGGAAGCATTGACACATTTTGTCAGAAGCCTATAACACTGCTTGTTTTTCTGATTTTTTTCAGCTGATTTTCTTCTAAGGCAGGAATAACACCCATTTTCTGTAAAATCATACAGACTTGTTAGGAAATTTTCTTTCCCTTCTTGTAGTTAAAATGGTAACAACAGTTAAAAAGGTTTTTTTTTTTTAATTCTGTAACAGAATAACTAAATAATTTTCTTAAGAGTACAATGTAGGCTATATGGAGTGCTGCTAGCGTGCCAACAAAGGTCTTTCTATTTTCTGTACTCTGTTAACAAAGTCTTATCTCTAGTCCTAATTTATGCAGCCACAAGAGTGTAGGGCAGTATTTTTTTTTTCAGTCCCTTGTAAAATTAACTTAGGGCTTATAATTACTTGTCATGCTTTGTATCCCTGAAAACACTATCCACTCATCACCATCTTCAGTGAAACACATAAACAACTTACATCTGTGAGCATTTAGCAATTACTCATCCAACTTTGGCAGTTATATGGGCCCAAGAGTTTTACCAAAGCTCACCACTTTCCTCCCATTCTTAAAAATAAGTTATTCAAATAAACATATCTATTACTAAGTAATCCGACTGATCATCAGAAGCTATTATCATGGGCTGGGTAGAAACAAAACCAAAAATACTCACAAACATTAAGACTGGCAAGTATAACTATTTCCTTTTTATTTTGCTAGACACCAAGAGTTTTAGTTTCTGTTATGAAACAGTGACTACCAAACAGGTATATAAGGAACTGCATTAAAATTATGCTGATGATGGGACTTAACTGTTATCTGAATAAATATATGGAGAGAAAAAGAACAATAGAAAACTTAAAATAAAACCAGAAAAAAACTCAAGGGTGGTCTTGGAAAAAAAACAAAACTAAAACCAATCCCCATGAATTTCTGAGTAAGCATGGGTTGGAGGAGGTTGGATTTGTGCAATGGGCCACATCCAACCCACCTATCTTAGAGTGTGCAATACCCCCAACATAGGACATGCATCTCCTATATAATCCACAGGGAGATGGAAGTGATTTCACAAGACCTGTCTCCTCATTCACCACACTTGAGCACTTCAGTAACGTGTTCCAGTTTCCTTTAGAGAAAGCATACTGGGGCATGTATGGACAGCTAGGAATGTAGCAGTTCAAAATGAAGCTACTGATTGACTGTAAATACTTTCAAGAGTTAACCTGTTTTGGGTAACAAGCACAATGAGTTACTCTCCTGGTTATAGGCACCAATGCTGCATTTCAGTTGGCTTTCAGGTAGTCTCTGAGATACATCTGTTCAATTATTTTCCCCGTATTGAGAACACAGGTCATATCTTCCTAACTAAAGCAACAAGAAGCTATAAAAAGGATTTGTTTCCATCATCATATCCTGCTTCTAGAGGAAACCAAGCCACAAGAACCTGAAAACTACTCTACTAATTGACTCAAAACAGTAATACAATTTTAGTATAAATTACAAATACAGCTGCTGGGAAGACAGAAGAACATTCAAAAAAAGCAACACCCAAACCAAGACCTTCTTCCCTTAAATTTTTCAGTTACACATTTTAAGTAGTATGAATTCAGAATTAACAATTGACATTAAAACACGACTTAAGAGTACAACATGGAAATGATTTCTGAAACCGAATGTTACATTTAAAAGTAGTAACAAGGCAAGCCAATATTGTGGCCAGTTAACAGTTTAGTATTTCAACAAAAGAAAATCTATCTCCTCCCCTCACATTGTAGACACCATTTTTCCTCCTCCCTCCCATTTGTAAGCTATGTTTGTATGTCTTATATATGTTATATTTTATATTGTATATGTTTTACATATTATAGAGATAATATTATTTAACATTATAGATATTATTAAATATTTTAAAGTAAGTTTTCTTGGAAGTTACCTATAGATGCAAAGAAAATGATGGCAAGAAAGTCACGTATTGGTTCAATACAGCACATAATCTCCTCAGTAACCATGTGACCCTGAGAAGAGATCAGAGCTCCGGCTAAGAAGCATCCCAGCTCCATTGAAACATCCAACAGCTCTGTGATCTGTCAAGGAATAACAGAGAATCTTTTGCTGAGTGACTGAGTAACTTTATATACCATTTCACAGTGAAATTATAAACCTGGACATTATACTGAATGTAGGAAATTACTGTGTCTTTATGCAAGTTCAACAAGAAGTAGAATTCAGTCTATTTATTTCAATGTTCTCTAGTAGTGTATTTACACAGAAGACTCACAAAATCTGTTTCCCCCTCCATGTTACCTCCTTCCTCACGAAAATAAAAAGAAATTTCTTAATCTACACTGTACTACTTTGTGTTACTCTTAAGGACACCATCTGATTTCACACCTGCAGGAGAGACTATAACAGCTTTGGAGCTGGGATTACATAATACATTGCGACTGGGAACTAAAGCCGTCAGAATAGCGTATTTTCCAGCTGTCAAACAAGAGAGAAAAATGAAAATCAAAGCTTATATCTGGGAGAATAGTCTCAATTTAGAAGAAGTCTCAGGCATAAATTACATTTTATTACCGTAAATGGTTTTAATGTGTCTGTGTGCTTTACTGAATAGGGGTTCCTTTAAGTGTGTGAAGTAAACTGCTGAAATGAAGCACAATATCGGCTTGAAAGAATTCAGACTGTTTCATTCTTTTTTAACGCAGTACTAGAAGGAAGAGATGAAACACATGTAAAGAAGCTAAACTAAAACCAAAGCAATTGCTTAAGGCAGTGCTTGGAACGCTAAAAGAAAAAAGCGAACAGCACTTCTAGTGGGTATAAGTATGTTTTAAAATAAATACTTTAAAACCATGCTGCTGTAGGTGGTCATCTTGCTGAGAAAGTACAATGCTATTAATACTAATAGAACATTTAAACCAGAAGACTTATTTTCATACTAATTTAGATTAAGCAACAATATGCTATAGTACATGTATGGATTTATATATATATATATATCTCCATATATTAATATGGATTATATATTCATCGGATTTTGAATGGTGTTATGTTGTAAGTTATGAAACTAAAACTCAAGTGGCTTGAAATTAATGGAGGAGAGCAAAAGACACAATAAACAAGTCTCCAAGCTGTGCATAAAGTGACACCCAATAATAATCCCCATACTTTTATATTTTGAAATGTTAATGTCTGAGGGATCATCACGTAACTGCATTTTTTATAACAGTCTGTAATTTACTGCAAGACATTTAAGGAAAAAAATTGGTTCTGTCAACTAATATCAGTAGTTGCAGATCAGGCAAAATGAACAAAATAACATTTTGATGTTATTCTCATTTTAAAACAAAAGGAATTTCAGTGCTCATCACAACAATTTGAAATTGCAGGAGAGAAGAAGGCAATATATACATGAAAGGCTTTAAAATTACCAAGAGATGAATAAAATAAAGGAAACAGTTATGAACAGCAAATATTTAAGTTGTTCTCAATCACACATTAGTTGTTTTCAGTCACATAGCTAATATTTTAAGTATTCCCATATACGTGATTATGTTACCATATAAGAAGAGATCTAGCATCTCTTGTACCAGAATTGCATGACAGTGCACTGTTATGAGAATCAGTCTTCAAGCAAGGAACAATTTGAGAGTTGGACTTGATGATCTCAGAGGTCTTTTCCAGCCCAGCTGATTCTATGATTCTATGGAAGAAACATGTTTCTTCAGAAAGCATCAGACATAACTGGAGCAAACCGTATGTCTATCTGGGAGTTTGCTCCCACAGCATAAAATCTGAATTACATTCCTTCACTCTGTAGCAAATCAAGTACATGCTCAAAGGCCTGGTAGAAAAATAGGCAAATTTTACTACTTGTTTAGTCTCTGGGTACTACACAGCTTCAGGTCTACAAAATCTACACACTGAAAAGTGTGCAATGGATGAGAGCACAACAAAAGAACCAACAATTACATAATTTTCTTAACCCTATCTCCCCTCCCCCAGTCTGTTCTTCAGATTTATATGTAGATTTATACAGAGACTCCTTTTACAATTCCCATCTTGGTCTCTAGTTGACCAGTAATATATTACCAGTAAGTAGACACAGTTCCTCAGCTAAAACTGTAGCATCAGGGTTTATCATGTATAATGTATGGGCACACATGCACAGACATACTGAGAGGATTTGTTTTACTGGCAGAAAGGCATTCTCAGCAGAATTTCTTACATAAGCAAAATTTGGAAAGTATTTCGCATTTAGAATTCCCTCTGCGCTTGCATCACTTTTAATGTTTTCCTTTTACCAAACAGGGCTCTAATGATTGCTAATCTCTGTGCTTTGCACTGTCCTTTTCTCAACACTTACATTACAGAAAGCTTTTTCAGTCAAAATTACATGAAAAGTTTTGTGAATTTCCACGTTTTCTCCCCAGTAAAACTTAAGTTTTCAGTTGTTTTCCAAGGTCCCATTTTACTCTAATTCAGAAAGGATTGCTTTGCTTTCACTAAAATATTAGATTTTTATGTTCAAATGTTCTATCACAGCAATAAATAAAGAAATAAACATTACTGTTATAACATGTTCCAGTTGAATCTCGACCATCTGTTCAGCAGTTGTTTTGCTCATATGCTCTAAGAGTGTCTATCTTATTGCTACTCTTTATAATCATCATAGAACCTTAATGAATATGGTAAGCCAGTAAAATTTAAGAAAATCTTGATAAAAATAAAGGTATTAGAATTTCAGGCTTTAGTAACTTAAACCTGCTCAAGAGTAAAGAGGTGAATTCTAAGCTTGCATTTTAAGAAAGTAAAGCTGTAATGGAAATGGAAACAATTTTTAGTGAACCCTGAAAAAACTCCACCTCAATTATATTTTGTGAAATAATTAACTAGAATATTTGAGATTAAAGTTCTTCCTTAATCTTCTCCTTCTAATTGATAGAAAAGAGTTGATAAGCAGGTTGTGAGCCATTGAGAAGTACTCCAGGCAAGCAAGGAATTATATTCCCAATATTAATAATGATATTCCTAAGACACTGCAGGAAAAAAAAAGTACATTTTCATACATAAAGTACTGTAATAACATAGCTATATTTTCTTTTTGTCTTTTTGGTACATAAAGCAATTTCCCTCCATTTGCACAATTTTCATTGTAATGTTTCTGTGCATAGAGAACATGAGAAAGGAACATTACACCAGTGACTGCTCTGGCTGACATATTCTTCAGCTCATTGTGGTAAATACCTCAACCTAAAAGTACAAGTCGAGCCATGGATCCTGAATGGTCATATTTGAAACCATAAGCAAGATTTACTCTTCATGTTGCAATTCAGAACAGTTTCCCAGTTAAAACAAACCACCAACCACATCTGCACAACTCAAAAGCTTCAAAAGGAGATGCTGGAAGTGTAATAATGATCTACTAAACTTTTGTTACTGATGGCAAGGTACACGATCCAAAGATGGACAACTGTGTCTCTCAGTTATACTTTTATAGGACTGGCACTTGAAACTCCCCCCACACCTGATCTGCCTAACTAGTTGAGAGACAAAAGGGAGGGGAATTCCAATTATTTCTGAGAACACTGGGAATATAAAGAGGTATCTTAAGCTCCAAGTCTTCGTAAAATATCTCATATTTGAGATGCACTGCTTTAATTTAGTTTGCCAAGAGATGTATTTAAGACCCTGTTTTGGATGTAATGAGTTGCAATGTTATCCAAGTGAGCCAAGCAGTTCAGAAATGCTCAAAAGCCACTACCCTATAGGAAGCTCCTCAATCGACAGGATAATCTTTACATCAAAATTGCTTACTCACACTGTAGTATAGGAACCTCTTCTGTCCTATATTCCCTCTTGTTTTCCCATACAGAATTTGCCCTTATTGGTAGAGAAATGACAATTCTTGTTTAATTAGTCATGGGAGATTTTTCAAACAGAGGAAACAAGTAAAATAAAAGGTGTATATATAATGTGCATTACATGTGCCAGTGTTACAGATTAATCCAAATACAGAATAAAATTAGATGGCTCCAGAATTCCAGTCAACACTGAGGCACATAATAAGTAACTGTATGCATGAAGCAGGAATAATGTATCATTCCTACCCTCTTTGTCATGTATTGTAAAGCATCTGGCCTGCAGAGTAACCTGCATGTTAGACAGTCAGTTAAAATATGTTATTTACAGTCATCTCTCAGATTTTCTAAATGAAGCTGTCTTTGGTCAAGGCCACAAAAAAAAGGCACTCTCTTATTTCTCTTCTACAAATTCAAAAGCTTTTTTAAAATTACATCAGCAGAGAAAATTCTGTGTTTGCAGACTAATTATACCAACTCCTTTAATATTTAGGCTTAGTTTTCCCAGGAAAAAGATCTCTGCAGGAACCACTAGAGTTTAATTGTTTTACTTCCTGGCACCCAAAAACTTTAATTTATCCTTTCCAGAGACATGCAACAAATTAGATTGCCATCCCCCATCCTATGTTTTTATTCCTGACATAGTAGGGGCACCTATACAAATAAAAAGATTTGTTTTCCAGAAGATTTGTTTGTTGATCTGTTCAACTAGACAGCCAAATATTTTTTCCATGTGTTTAAACCACAGCTTGTAGCATTACTATAATGAATGTAACTGTGTCAGTGAATATCAAGCATCTCAACTGGTTTACTGAGGTTACCTGAAGTATCCTTTGAACTGTTCCCTTTGATACATTATTTATCAACTCTAACAGGAAAATTTTTGAAAATGCTGAAGAAGCATTTTGGTTTTGCAGTATAAATCCAACACACTGAAACATATTCTCTCCCCATGTTTGTGTACCCACATGTGTTATGTAAAGTCATATAGACAAGCTCCTTGTTCATTTGACAGGCAATTTTGGTACAATACACCCAATTCAATCACCAGACTATGTAGGTCATGTTCTTAATGAAAGTAGAACTGCTTCTGGATACCATCATATTTTATGCAACTTTTGTGGTTTGGTTGCTGTTTTTTACTGAAGTTGTTCTATGAATGTAATGTCTGCTTGTTAGAAAGTAAAAAGTAAAAACTAGTTTTGTTCCTTCTCTTATTAGATGACACACTTGGAATATGAATAGCTGTTTAGAGCAATGGCATTTTTAACCTGCACAGCAGAAGTCAACAACTGTAAAGCTATGCTCTCACTACCTTCTTTTTGACCTTTCTGAAGGAGGTCAGCTTTCCCTGTTGAACTGCAGTAACTAAGCTAACACCCCTAGAAAAAAGGTACAGGCATAGGAATTTTTTGGCTTAATTATTCTCAGAGGACATAATCTGTACATTCAGGATAATGGAGTTTCAAACCCACAACATTATCAGCAACTGTCACATTCTGTTCTCCAGCAGTATAGTTTTTCAGAGGGCTGAAACATGAGAGAGAAATAAACAGACGGAAAATTCGGGGTAAATGAACCAAACCCAAGAGGGTTATTAAAATCTATAATCCTTAAGGCATTTCTCTACTTTCTTAACTTCATCCCAAACTGTGTATCCCACACAAAAAGAAAATTATTTTATAATAAAAACCATGTTGAGAATTTGTTATTAAGAAATTTGTGAGCAAATGTCACAATCAGGCATTATCAGTATCTCAGAAGCCATCCTAAATTATTTTCAAATGCATGAAGTAGCCCAAAATTAAAACTTGGATCATTATTCCTAAACTGGCTGTACTAAAAGCTAACAGCAGAAGTTCAGCAAATTGACATTCAAATTTTATCTCTTCTTACTCATCTGTGCTGGAATGCATGAATCATTTGTGCATTTGAGGGTTGTTTTAAAACATTTTAAACCCAAATAATTAATTACAGAGGTACATGTATATGCAGTAACAGTAAGCGCAATGGCTTTTGTGATAGTGATACAGTAAGCTACCAAATGTATAAAAATGTTTTATTAATAGAAAAGATTAATTTAAAAGATTACCGTTAACATAAGGAAGGTGAATGCAGTTATTCCTAGAATGAGGATTTCTTTATTCCCTTTGCTTTCTGCATGCAACTTGCGATAATACGGTCCTATGAGATAAGTCTTTATAACAAGACATAGAAGAAAAACAGCAGCCAAAGAAAAGAGAATTTGGCCAATCAGTATCAGTATTCTTAGTATTTCCTTGAAAATGCTGGAAGAGAAGAACAAACAAAAAGTTTCTTTCAAGTGCTCTCATACTTCCCAACCAGTTCCCCTTAAATGAAAAGATCTAATTTCGTAAATGTTCAAAACTGAGTAGCTACAGGAAGATATTTAAATACATTTGCAAACAAGATTAAGACTAAATCTGCTGAGTGCCCAGTAACCTCTTTTACAGCCTAGAATTTACTTCCACGTTGACTCAAAAAGATTTTTGTTGACTGATCTCCAAGGTAAGCCATTAGACTCAATAATGCTATCACACAGGACAAAAACATGCCCCGAGGGAATAAAGTAACTTTTTTTTTTTTTTTTACAATAACAAACTTTTCACTACAAATTATGATTACCACACAGGACTAAGGCTGCTAGAGGAAAAAGAATATTTTCATACAACATGACAAGTAGAAACAGTAAAGGAAACTCAAAAGAACGGAGTGTCTATTTTTCACAGAACTGACATTAACCTTAGTGCTCTCAATATTCGTATTGGCAATCTACGTACTGATTGCAAAGGGTGGGGAGGGGAAGATCCATACAATAATTTATTTTTTTTTTACCTGGAATGTGTGCTCACTCCTGCTTGAATAAGTGTAGGCATGACAGCTATAAATAAACCAAGCTGCACATCCTGCATCACCAACATGCCAAGCAGTACGCTGCTGTAGTCAATATCCCCTGTACACCAGCAAAGCAGTCAGGGAAACAGTCATTAGAAGCTATGAATGCTTGCAATGCTCAGAAATCTAGAGAAGGCTTAATCAAATGGAAGCCAAGTATAGCTCTTAATGGGGTGAAGGCCATTCAAAGCAGTCTGGGTTTTTTCCCCCACTAGTAGGCAAATTAAAATATATATAAGACATTAAAATACAAATAAAATATTCATGAGACTTCTGTTACACAATAAAAACATAGACTTTGCTTAGCAGTTAAGTACTAGTTATGCATTTAGTGAAACTCCTTACTGAGAGCATACAGTTTTTAGAATAACAGACATGTAAGAGTCAGCATGTGTAAAATATAAACACTTTGAATTCTGGCATTAGAGTGAGTCTTCCATAGGGTGGAGAATGCTTTAATGCAGTTCACATGAAGGAGGTTTAAATGGAAGAAAGCAGGATGTCAAAACTTTTGAAAGGAAACATGTAGAAGTACTTGAGAAGATAGCAATGTGACCCTTGAAGGTAGTTATTTGAAGAGCTGTTAGCTATGAAAGACCACCTGAACTGGTCTCTGTTTGTTGAAGAAGGATGTGAATTACTTAAATTAGCCTTTCTGGCCTGATGACAAACTGGTAGCAATGGTCTAACCTGGTAACCTCTTAAAAAACTCAAGGATTACAGACCCTCAGTAAAGTCAGTTCTTAACATGGAGAGCACTGGTTGGGCTACATTGTCTTTCTCCAAAGATGACTGGCTATGTAAAAAGCAAGAACACTTCCTAATGAGAATATCCGCAACACTGGCCACTGTTAAACAAGGATGATCCCTTGTAAACCAGACTTAAGAGTGGCTTTTGTTTTGGTTTTTTAATTAGTCTCTCTCATAATATTACAAAGTGAACTTCTTTCAAATTTTATTGTAGATACTACAGTAGCCCATATTTAAAGTAACACATACCTTCTTTATCTCCTCGAACACTACCTGCAAGGAATCTTGACACCAGTGGTGTGCTTGATAAAGATAAACAAGTGGAAATGAAGACGCTCTGTGTTGGTCTAATTTGGAGCAAGTGCCCCCATAGTAAACCAAAGGCAATCATCAGAACTGTCATGTAGCAAGGTCCTTGCAAAGATATTTTCCATACCTGGGGACAAAACATGTTTTTGTGATAAAGGCTGATGACACTTTTCTTCTCACCGCTAAGTTACAATGATTTTCATCACAAAAAAGCAGTTAAAAATGTGTTATTTGAGGCTGTCATGCTGGGCCACAGAACTAACAAGCTATCACCCTATACAACCCAAAACCCTGAAGTTATTATGCCTAGTAGATATTCTATGCCAGAAGCCTCATTACCAGAAATTAGGTAAATTTTCCAGAGCTCATGGACAAATTAGGGGCCAAAGCTCCAGTATGGGTTAAAATATATTAAAAATTATCAAGTGGAAGACCAGTTATTTGATGTGATTCTAGGATGGGGAAAAAACGGGAGTGGCAAAGGCAGTTACCAATACCAGCGACCTGTTCCAAACTTGTGCACACACACAGTTCTGAAGCAGCAATTTACCTGCTACAGTTTAGGAACTCCTGAATTACTAGTTTTTATCTTTGACTTTAGATGGACTAGAAATAGCAGATTAAGCTGAATGGTCATAAATTTCAACACATTTCAATTAAAGCTTTTATGGTATCATGAACTCACAACCATCAGTTTAGAAAGAAATCACACCATGCAGTCCTTTACATACAGTCTGCACATATTCTGCAGTAGTATTTCCCACTGTTAAACTTCTAGCTGGTTTATGAGATAACTTTTTTTTAAAATTAAGACCAAAAAAACCTTGTAGCTTTTTGCTGAATCCTGATGGCCACAGATTGTGCTAACATACTTGCTGAATCACATTATTAGCTAGTAGAGCATGTATCATCAATTTAGTATGCAGTACTTAAATGGTTTGATTTTTTATAACAGGACTGGCAAACATCACTGGACACTCTGTAATAACAACTGCATGTTACAATTAAGCAGAGATGGATTGTCACAAATTGTGAGAGATTAGTAATTAAACTGTTTTACTAAAACCAAGAGGAATAGCAAATGTAAGCTTTTTGAGACACTGAATAAATAATGCATTCTGTTCTTCCCAATGAGGTAAAGTGCAGAAGCAAATGTCATATTTGTCTTTTTCAAAAATGTACAAAGTTGCACCAATATATTATAGGGAGAGTATAAAATATTAAATATAACTGATAACTGGAACATTAGCAATTAAATACTTTAATGTAGAGGTATTATGCAAAAATACCTTTCTTAATCTTTCAGGAGAAAATTCCAGACCAACTAGAAAGAGGGTGAAGAACACACCAAACTCTCCTAACGTCTCCACCTGTACAATAGACTTTAAAAAAATTAAAATAAATAAATCAGTGCACAGCAGTCTACTTATAATACCAATTATAATTCCACTACAAAACAAATTGTTTCTCATTATGTTTCCATAGGTAGTTCACTTGCTGTCATATGACATCTCAAGTTCCTACAGCAATCTTAGGGTTTAAACATTTTTCCCATCACCTGGTTGATACTAGATGATAATTTGGTTGGATAGTGCTGGTCACATTAAATGCACATGTGCACTCATCTAGGTAAGCTTGCTGGCTGGATGAAAATGAACAGGTTATGCTTTATGCATGTGCAATTAAATTCCCAAGGCTTGCACTCTAGAAGTTACTTCTTGCTAGTTATTTTATTGGTCTATTGGTATAATCTTTCTGCTAGACTGTAGTTGCTGTTCTGCTCACCACCCAATAGACTGCACACATCCACCTCAGTCCAGCAGAACTACTAGCCCTTTCTGCTTCAGAGAGAAGGGAAAAAACAGCAGGAAAGGCGGTTGTCTTGCTCATCACAGCAGAAAAATGGGGATACATCTGGCTGGCAACTGGTCACCAGTGGTGTATCCTCAGAGTTCAGTTGAAGGGACAGTTCTGTTACAGATATATATATATCTATCTATCTCAATCAAGAATCTCAACGCAGGAGCTGCATGCACCACTAGCGAGTTTGCTGATGATACCAGGCTGGGAGGTGCTGTTGACTCTCTTGAGGGACAAGACACCTTGCAGAGGGATCTAGATACACTGGTAATGATTATTGGGATATTTAACAATGCTGGATTCTGCATCTAGGATGAAGTAAGGCCAGGCGCAAGAATAAATCGGGAGTGGAATGGTTGGAGAGCAACCCTGCAGAAAGGTGTCTGGGGGTGCTGATGGACAGCAAGCTCAGTGTGAGTCAGCAGGGAGCCCTGGCAACCCAGAGGGCAAATCCTATCCTGGGGTCCATCAAACACAGCATCACCAGTCACTCAGGACAGGTGATTATCCCACTGTATTCAGTGGTGGTGCAGCCTCATCCAGAGTTCTGTGTGCAGTTCTGGGCCCTACAATTTAAGAAGGATGTGAAAATACTTGAATGTATCCAGAGGAGGGCTAGAAAGTTGGTGGAAAGGCTGGAAGGAATGCCCTATGAGGAGCAGGTGAGAACAGTTTGTCTAGCTTGGAGAAAAGCAGGCTGCGGGGCAACCTCATTGCTGTCTACAGCTTCCTGAGTAGGGGAAGTGGAGAGGGACGTGCTGAGCTCATCTCCTTGGGATTCAGTGACAGGATGCATGGGAATGGTTCAAAAGCTGCATCAAGGAAGCCTAGGAACTGTTTCTTTACTGAGAGGATGGTCAAACCCTGGAACAGGCTTCCGAAAGAGCTGATTAATTAAGAGCTGATTAAAGAGCCCCCAGACAGACAGCGTTCAAGAGGCATTTGGACAATTCCCTTAACAATATGCTTTAACTTTTGGTCAGCCCTGAAGTGGTTAGGCAGTTCACTGAAACAGACTATTCTAAAAACCTAACATTTCTTTCCTATGCATTTACAGGCCAGAGCAGAAGAGAACAGGGTCTATCATCAGTCACAGAGAAGTGCAGATGGAAACTATCTTTCCTGCCAGATTAGAATCTGTCTGCTTCCTCAGTTCCTCCAATATTCAACTTTTTTAGGAAATACAGAAAAAAGCATGCAAAAGAGACCCAGTCAACATGAACATTATCCAGATGAGTAACATTTAATCACAGCTGCACAAGAAACTGGAGGGTCACTTAAACTGCCTTGAAGAAACATCTCCCATCTGTTCTGACCACATAATCTTCTTCAACTTAAATCCCTGGAAATTCATTTTTGGATCTGTTCCAAATGTCAAGCTTACAAACTTGTTTCTCAGTCTAAGTGGCCAAACTTTCCAGACCTTCTCAACCTAGAAATTATGTACAACACAAAGGTTATTATTTAATGTCAATTTTAGAATATAAAATTTTGGAAGTGCAGTACTTGGACCTTCTCTTCCAATACAAGATTGCAGGATTTTGTCGATTTCTACCCATCTCTACTTACTTTTGAGCCCAGCAGTCATTTTCAACAAAAGCCCAGGTAAGAGCAGATGTTGCAAAGACAGTAAGTTCCAAGCGGTTACAGGGATATCGTTCCAACAAGCTCATGTAACTTAAGTGGACATTATGGTGCAGCCTTAATGTGTGATCTGTTTTGCCTGCTGGCTAAACAATCTGTTAATGCACACCAGACCACTAATCAAAACATGTCCAGCCAACCACAGCCCATGGTTTCACATGAGCTAGTAATCAGGGTACACGTGATGGAGCTAAAAAGGTTCAAGAGACTTCAGGAATGTGGGCCGGGTACTGGGAAAGAAACAGGGTGACTAGGATGGATGAATGAGTTACAGAGAAGCAAAATAACTCTCTAAAAGGCCAAGCTATGCTAGTCAGGGAACTACTTGTTTTAAACACTTCCTCCACTGTGGATTCTTTTTTTGTTTGTTTCTTAATGCATTTGAAGTTGGCAATACCATGTTATTTTAAAACTACTTTTAGAGACTTCAACGAATTAAATCAGTCAAGAAGTAACTTGCACACATACCTTGATACTGTTTAATCCTGAGGGTCCTAAGAGTACTCCACAGATGATATACCCAAACATGGTTGGCAATCCTATTGTTGTGCACAGCCAGCCACATGGCAAAGACAACATTCCTATTGTCACAATATCCTAAATATGTAAGATTTACAAATGCGTTAATATAAAGGACACACAAATTTGGGATGAAATTAAAGACTATTATCTTTCAAAAGATAAACAGCACTGTAAAATTAAATGTAGAATACTGCCCGTGAAGAGAAAACACCACTTCAGTAAACTGACCTCAGTGCTGTTGCAAGTGTAAGCACGGCAATTTTGTAAATGAAGGAGTAGTACTGACCTTAGGTAACTGGGGGACTTTTGATCAATTTAATAAATATTTTAAATACATTACAGAAAGTAGGCAATTTCCTAGATGGAATGACACTTTGCAGTAAAACAAGATGGTGAAACAGATCTGTTTTGAGTTTCTATAATTGAAAAAGAATCCTAATCCAGTTATTCTATTGGAAGCACAAATACAATAAAAACCCTGCCATGTCTATGTATTTTTCAGTACTTCTTCTTTCATCCCAAGGCACAAACAAGTAAGTTCTCTCCACTGACAACATGCAAGTGGTTCATCAAGCACAGCAGTAGTTTGCTTTAATAGTCCAAGAGAAGGGATGGTGCCCCAAAGGTGCAACAAGATAAATCAAAAAAACCAGAGAGGATTCACATGGCATCATGATTAGTCTTTTGAAGACTATCCTAAGAGTAGGAAACATATGACCAAATCACCATAGATAGGGGACTCATGAATGCTGGGATAATTTTAGAGGAGCATATGCTGAATCTACATTCAATCCAACCAAATAGTACTGACATCCAAACTAGTGGGACTAAATCTGACCAAAAGCAATGACAAGAGTGTCTCTAAAATTATTACCTTTATGAAATGATGATCAGCACGAGGAATGGTTGAGTCTCTGGGTTTGGTAAGGATATACTGATTGTTCTGGGAATCAATAAGCATACTAAGACCTAAGTCATCCTCTACTTCTCTTTTTGAAGCATTTCTTTTGGAGTTGGCTTCATCTTCTTCCACCCTTAAAACTGCTTCAAAGTTTACACCTCTTACCTGTGAGAAAAAGAAAACAAATAATCAAACAAACAAAAAAGTGGGAGCCAATTAAGCTTATCATAAAAAGGGAAAGCCTATTAGCTGTGCTTGAAGTTTATACAGAACTTGTTGACACCAGCTGAAAATATCAGTTTTTTTCTCTAAGAAGGCCTTCATTTTCTTTATTAAAACTTGGATGTCTTGAAATGTAACGTTATTACCTTTAACAAAAACAATTGGAGATTACAAAGTGATATTCAGTTCTCAAAAATCTGAATTAAAGACTGCATTACAAATCAAGAAAAGGCAACTGTTCTGTAAATTTGAAGGAGAGAGTATAAAAAAAAAAAAAACCAAACCTTTTTCTACCTAGTTATTTTCAGGATGTTATTTCCCAAAACAGCAATTCTTGAAAGCAGGTTGTAGCTCAGATTTTTTTTTTTTTCATTTTTACCAGCTACACTTCTCTATTTGATTATATTTTAATAGAAGCCTGTATATCTCTATCAGAATACTGATGCCTCTATCAGAGCTTCTCTGTTCTAAAATTCCAGTGTTTTCGTTTAAATGTTCCTAGCAAAGACAGAGATGCAAACAGCCCTCCGGGTTGCATTCCATGACTCCTTTTCCTTCACGGGTGGAGATACAAGCAGCGAAACAAAGAGATGCCCTGGAGGAGCAGGAAGCCTTGGCGTTTTCCCAGCTCTCAGGTGCCGCAGGACGAAGCTCGCTGTTCCAGGGCGGAACAGGAGAGGGCGCTGCCGGGCGGGATCCCCGCGGGGCACAACCGCTCCCGTCAGGTGGGATCGCGTAAAAGGGCTGCCTTCACTTTCGCTCCCTGCGAGTGCAGCTACAAAAAAAATCCCACGGCCTGGCTCGCTACTACAGAGCAACTTTTTTTTTTTCCTCCTCAGCACAATTCAAGAGCTGTGCTCACCTCAGAAGTCAACCTGCAAATCAACCAAAACCTCTCAAGAGCAAAGGCCAAGTGAAGCTGCAACCCATGGCTACGCAAACAGGGCCGGTCTAGAGGATCTGTCTCTGAGGACGGAAAAATGGGACACTACAATAAACTGACACATTCCCAGCTCCAGAAACACAAAGCCTTAACCTGAGGAATACTGTCGACCATGCAACATAAAAACAAAGAACAGTGCAGGTAGGCCAAGATGCAAAAGGCAAAGGAAGTCAGAAGTGGAAGAAAGCAACACCACAAACACATTTCAAGTCCTTCCCTTAAACAATATATCTTTTCCCAGACTGTGAAAACTAACTGCAAGGATTCTTGTTCTTCCATAACTCTCTCAACAAAATGAAAATGTGAAGACTGCTTAACACAGTAACTCCATATCCTGAGAACTATCACAGTTCCCCCCACCACTGAGATGTCATATCTCTGCCCCCCACCACTGAGATGTCATATCTGTCATGGGCTGTATCAGTGAGACTGGACTACATTTGTCAAAGTGGCAGCTGCAGGGAGGACTTCCAAATCAAAAACACAGAAATCAGTAGCAAAAAGGAGCAATTATTCCTGATGCTCACTCTTCTTTAATCCTATAACCCTAACAACTATATAATGCACGAGAAACACGCTTACAGTGCAAATACTAATTATAAATAAATGCATACCAATGAAAAGACTAAAACATCACTTACAGATTTGTTGTCATCAAAGGCATGCTCTTCTATTTCCTCTTCCAATCTATCCGCTGCCTTCCTGACATCTTCCAGAATTTCATCAAGCATTGACAGGCTTTTGTTTTGATGCTGCATGTTCTTAAGGGCTTCAACCTGGTGTTTTTCGGCTGCTAAGAGTTCAACATATTCCATTTCTTCCTGTTGAATTTTAGAACACACAGATAAAGTGCTGGCCAGGCCTTTGAGCAGAAAAACATCTGACATAAATGTATGCTTCTTTTGACAAAAATTCAGTGGACTTGCAAGAGCAACATAGACTTTGTGATGGTATCTGAAGATTGCTTTCTCTTGTGTCAATTTTCATTGGGGTAACCAGACAAGAAAAACAACCACCAAACAAAATATCCACCAATTACCGTTTCTAATCCATTAAACAGTAGAGCTGACCCAAGGGTATGATCCAGAAAATACAAGAAATTACTTACTTTGAGAAACTCTAGGAAACATTTCAGAGCCAAGTAGAGTTTAGCACTCTGTGCTTTAGGGGGGATGTGTAATATCTTGAAAGCATAGCTATACTATCCACAACAAACAAACAGGATGGAAAACACAATGAATCTTAACTTTATAAAACCTTTTATAAACATAGGAAGAGGTCTGTTAATGGTTTTCACAAATTAAGGTAACTGTGGAAACAGACACAAAAAAAAAGAAAAAAAAAAGAATTGGGAGAGAGTAGAGATGAGCAGCCAATCACTCTAGCCAAGTTTCCTGTTTATGTTTCCCAGAAGCACTTTCCTATCAGAACTAAAATACTTGACTTTTTCCCCCATTTCAGTTTGGGCCTCTTATAAACTTAACACTGACAACTTCTGAAATTCATTTCTAGGCTTCAAAAGTAAGAAAAGAAAAAAAGCTAATATGGTTTGATATAGTGTGAAAATACTTCAGAAGGTTCCCTAATAAAGTTATAATGTTTCATTTGTCTTTGAAGGTTTCAGGTTAAAAAAGACAACTAGAAAGGTTAATTTACTAATCAAGATTGGACTTAACACTGTACCTTCTACATAGTTACCATGACAGTAACCAAACAGAATATTTTGTGTGTTGACAGAGAACAATCTGAGGTTTTTGGAAAAAAAGATTCTTTTCATTACTTGCTTACATTCTTTTAAAGATGCTCTGGTTGAGAGAACAGTTATGAGTAAGGAAACACATATGCAATTGCAGCACATCTTCCTTCCAGTTAGGTTCAGGATGCTGACAACACTTAGATGAGAAAGACCCTACTTTTGCTCTTTAAGAAAGCCAGTGTTATTACCAAGGGCAAAAATTGGGCAAAAAATGCAAGCAATCTCTAGCTCTGAGTCAATTCCCAGAAAAAACAAGTTCCTGTCTCCAGATGCCCTGCCATACCCAGTTAGTAATCAGAGAATGTAGGTCTCCCTTAGGTTGGGTGTTTTACCTGCCTACCCTCCATAGACATCTTCAATAACATGGACATATAAAATGGTCCTAAACACCTATGCTTAAATAAGTGGAGTGTCCCTTCCTCCAAACATTTGCAGATGGACATTTTTCCCCTTAAAACCTGCAGGAACATGCATGTAATTTAATCCATTCCTTGGTGCCAAGACGAGAGTATGTTCAGTACAACCGGTAACTGTAGCTTAATTCTTTTAAAATCCCGACAGTCAGATGAATGCCTCTGATTGTGATGAAACCACAGAACTGCTGTCTGTTGGTGTTTAGAATTACCATAGTTACACTGGCATGATGAAGGTTACCCAGATCCCAAAATAACTGGAGTTCGGAAAAACGTAACTATTAACGTGTTTAGCCCAATGTCAACAATTAGTTCTTATGCAACACTTAAGTAGGAGACACAGTCATACTGCCTCGAGGAAAAACATTTCCTATCTGGTGCTCTCTGCTAGCAGACATTGCCTAAAAGATGTAAAAAACAGCCGCCATATGAGCTGCAGATTTTCTGCTTATTCAGCAACAACCTGGAATGCAAGATGAATTCTTAGATTCTTTCCCCTCAAAAACGGAAGAGGCTTTGGGTGCAGAGAGGCAATTTCAGTCCTTTCTGTTGGTGGAGACAAACAAGCTGAACAGAGCTAGAGGTAAACTGCAGAAAAATAAATAATTCTGCAATTTCAAAGGAGTTACCCTTCCCTGAAGAGCAAGATAGAAAAGCTTTGAAAAATCAGTTTAACTGCAAGTTCCTTCAATGAATGGAGATGAAAGTTTTTGTAGTCTATGAAAGAGGCACCTCTGTTTCCACCTACAGACCAGTGTGACAGCAGTAGAGTGGAACAACCACAGAGAATGGTGTCCCTAAAAAGGATAAGCTATCTCAAACAACCTGCTATATGCTGAGCAAAGTGCATCACAGTACAAACACTGTTCCACAGCTGCTGGGATTGGAGACACCCAATCACAAGGTACATACCAAACCACCTCTTTAGCAAAGTAATATAGATAAGGATTGTGTATGTAACAGGAACACCTAGAAACACAGGAGCAAAATGAAGACAGATTGAGTAAGACTTTGGGGCAATGCTGATTAAGAAGGCAGTGTTGCTGTTGTTCTCTACTACTTAATCAGAGATGATAAAATCACATTCAGAAGAGGTTGCATCTTTGCACTACTTGCAAGATTTTTTTTCTCATCAATGTCTAATTACTAGGTACCCAAGAAATCAGAAGCTGATAAAATGTAGGTAAGATTTTGTTGCTTTTTCCTGAACCTCCACACAGGCTCCTGTAGCAAAAGAAGGCAGAAACCATCTCCAGAGTTTCTTCCTTACTCCCTCCCTCCCTGTGAATGATTCCACAACACCTTTTCCCAGCAGCAGAACCAGCAAAAAATGCATCACACATACATACATATCCCAACAATAAAGACTTTCAAGTACTTCAACTCAACAAAATTAAAATGAAGGGAAGAGTCCAGCCTCCATTTGTATTTTCCATTCACTCACCATTTAAAAAATGGAAAGGATATTTTACATGAATACACCAACAAAGTAATCATTACAGTAAAATGAAACTGGAAAAAAAAGTAGACCTAATGTGCACCTTCTGAAGTAAGAACAAATCCAAAAAAATGTATCCCATGAAATTTTCATCTTTGTTTGGCATGCATTTCTCCACATCCTTTGTTTCCCTTTACAGAATAATTAAAAGGTTAGAACAACAAATACTCTGTTTAAAGAATCATGTGCATGGTATGAGAAGGAAGGGCGCAAAAGATTGCTCACTCAAGTAAATGTCTTGATATGATAATACAAAAAGCCTACACAATCCACCTCTGTGAAAGTAAAGTTCTGACAGGACACACCTCTAAAACACATCACACATCATTATACACAAAGATCTCCTTTTAGGAGAAAAACCTGAATGAAGAACCATTCTCAAATTCAAGGACAAATTACCTCAGTACTTTACAGTAACATTATCAAGAATTATGTAAATGAGAAAGAAAATTCTGGACAGCTTCACTGCTGCTATTTTACAAGCTCTGAGAAAGAAAAAAGGTGAAAAATCAAGTAATGATCATAATGCTCATGACAATTGCTACCATTTCTACGCAGCAGAGGCCGGCACTACAATTAAGGATCAATATCCAAGTCATATCAAGCACTTCATTGGAACACACCTAGATCCAAACCACTCCCCATCCAAATCTTTTTGTAATTCGGTCTTTGTTTCCACTGCACAGAACCACTCCAGTTTCCCAAGTGTGCATCTACTTCCAGCAGCCTTCCTTGCCCCAAATCACTGCACACCTTTCTTGCACGCAGTCTTTCAGTCTTCATCTGTAAAGACCTGCACACCTCTTAACACAAATGCCCTTTAGCGATTCTCTCAACTCAGACTCTAGACCCCAAATACATTTTTGTGCCTTCTCTCACGCCCTCGTGCAAGGGCAGCCTCTTCTTCTAGAAGATGGAAAACAATTCTTAATATGTTCCTCCAGTGGTTGAAGGGTAGAGCAAGGAAAAGAGCAATTTAAATACCAAATACAGTAAATGAAATTTTCTCTCAGTGGGAGACTTTCAGAGCACTGCCAAGTCTAGAAGACAGTGGCAGATTGTGCACAACCTAATGGATCTGCATTGACATGGGAACTCAAATTTTCCATGAAATACTTGTGCTCAACTATTACTCATCTGTGTTTTTTCTTGGCAAAGTTATCTCAGCTGGCTCTTTCTTGAAAGCACTGCTTTTCAAACCTGCCCTTCTTAGGCTAAGAGTGCTATACTGAGTTTAAAAATCTTGTCACTTACTATTTTGCATATCCATTTTACCCCTATCTATACTAACATGGAAATGAAAGGCAGTATGTCACACTGTTTAAATTGTAGGCTTCGGTTGAGCAATTCTAAGGTAAAGTGGAAAAAGCAGTTAGTATTTTGCCAATTTATGGCATTATTTCCACTCTGATAACCCCACTGGTTTGTCTTGCACGACTGTGCTATGCCCACTGACTCACTGCTTGTATTCCTTTCTCTTTATCGTAATATTTGCCATAGGTCTTATGATTATGCTTAGCTTTGTTTTGAGATAAGAACTATTGACTGCTATTAAGTTTTAAGCTCTACACCAGAATTACCTGTAAATTTACTAATGAGAACAAATAATTCATTCAAAATCCATTTTAAATATCTCAAGTTTTATATAGATACTCTTTTTTATTAAAACAGAATGAAACTGGGTCATAATAAAATTAAAATCACAAGTAGAATATGAATACTGTAGTAATAAACATGGGGAAACTCACCTTAATTGCAGCTTCCCTTAAGGCTTCCAGCCTCTGTCTACTGCTTTCTTTCATATTTACAACATCTTTGTAATCACCCTGTAGAGCTCTCTGGAGGCCATGGATTGCCTGAAAGACGGAGTTTTCACTTTCATTTAGCTCCTTTTGGAAAATTTCAAAGGTGTGCACCTGAAAAAGTTTCTCTTCATCAGACAGTCCTACATCCTTCTCGACTGCTCTTATGGCATTTTTCAGTTTGTTGAGAACAACGTTCTTTTGGCGAAGAAGACCAGACAGTTTTCTGCAACTTTCCAACACCCACTGCTTTCTCTGAGTGATAACAGCTCCTTTTCCACGGTGCAGCTTTATTGCGTGCTTTACCACATCTTCATGTTCTGCAGGATTTGCTAACTGGCCACAAGGCAATGAAACCAACGTCCACAGAGAAATAAATCCAGTCGCCTTCATTCTTCACTTTATATTGCTCTTGGGAGAAACTGATAATTCACAACTGCTCAAAGGATTCTGCTACATGGTTTCTGCATCTTTAGTACGCACACCAGGCTGCAAGATAGTACCAATCAGTTATCAAATGTGGTAATGCTGGGCCATGAGGTCAAACAAGTGTAGAAAATATACCCCAAGATTGCATCCTACACCATGATCTTTAACAGAACACATACGGTCTCCTTCAGTTAACATCTCACAACACCAAGAAACAACCCAAGGTTACGGAGAGATTTTTGGTTTCCCCTCGACTATTTCCTAGATAGCATATTGTTTTAAAAACAGTGACTGGGAAGCTTAGTCATTTCACATGGTACTTATCTGCACTTCTTACATGAAAGAAAAGCCTTTAAAAATATAAGGCAATGATGTCACAGGCTGCACTTCAGCCTAAAACTCCTTGTTCTTATCTGTCAGCAAATCTCCTGTATTTTCTCAAACCTATCCTAAAAAAATTACATTATAATCATTTGTTATTTATAAAGTCTCAGAAGCATTAACACACTCAACAAAACATAATGAAAAAAAGCCTTACTGAAACAGTATGAATTGTAATTGTGAAAGAAAAAACAGCAAAACCTCCTGGACTTCTGGGTACTACTAATTTGGATCAAAGACCCTCTTCACCTGAAAGGCTGCAGGGCCTTGGGGTACTTTACTTCAAAGCTTACTATTGATTCTCATGATTTTAAAATAGTTATAAAACCACTAAATCAGTTCATTCTTAAGTTCATTTCCCAGCAACTACTAGGAGATCCATATATAAACTGCTGTATTTGATTTTAACACCAAGTAGGATAGGATTTTAAAACTAAAAGCTACCTTCTTTCTTTCCTCAGAACCTACAGGAAAATGCTGACACTACTGTAAAATAACAAAGTTACAATGTCTTTTGAAAAAAAACAAACAAACATAAAAAACTTTAAACCCCTACCACCACCACCATCAAGCTATACATAGCAATGTATAAATGTCTGTACAAAATATACATTTAACACTGAAGCATGGCATTGTAAAAATGCACAGCACACACAACATGTTAGTAGATCATCAATACAGCAGGTATTTCCCTAAAACTTTAGCTACAATCTTGATCCCTCAGCCAACAGCCTTAATCAGGAACCAACACGTGGACATGGTCATCTGGGAGCAGTCTGCCTAGGAAAGAATCCTTCTTTTCCTGTAATGTAGTAACAGTCACAATCCCGAGTATCCAAGCCAGCCATCCTCATTATACAGAATGAGCTCCGAGCAACCTGGTCTTACGGAAGGTCTCCCTGCCCACAGCAGAGGGGTTAGAACTAGATGGTCTTTAAGGCCCCTTCCAACCCAGGCCATTCTATGATTCTGTGAGAAGGGAAGATGGCAAGCACAGCCATACATCACCTTAATTTTTTAAATGCTCTCTGTTTCAGAGGGAACTGAGAAAACCTGTCTGTGGGTTGTTTTCTTCAATGGAAGCCAAAGTATCTACCTAAAAATAGTTGACTGTGGGCCAGGGTTTAACAATATGAAGAGCTAAAACATTTAAAAAGAAGAATTAAAAGTGCAACTGAAGTAACAAAAGCATAACACCTCAGTCTAATATCAATAAACTAGTAAACTATAAATAATTCAGCTGTGGGGTTTACTATTTTCAAGAAATAAGACAAATAGCAACTTCCACCACCTGGCAGAGTTCTAGAGTGAAATTTAAGGAAATATTTCTTCATGTATACAAATACTCTCCCTGTTTGGTAGGCTTGGGGCAGAGATTTTGCTAAATATATTACAACCTATTTCTTCAAGAGAGAGGAAGAAGAAAACACCCAGTGTATATCCAAGCTTCCGTCTTCAGGGAGTGGAGTAAAAGACTATACTGCATGGCATGTCTTACACGGTATGTTAAACCACATAACTAAATTTCGAGCAGAGATTTATACTAGCAAAGTTCACTCACGGTTGTGCTGCGCAAACTTTGCAATGTGGTTCAGACACAGGACACTTTGTTTCAGTGCTTTTTACTTGGCTAGCAAAAACTGGAAAACTAGCATCTGGGGCAGTGCTCAAAAGCTCTCACATACCAAAATAAATAATGTGATACAGAGTGCAAATAAAACAAAATAAATAAAACCCAATAAACACTCCGTGCATCAGTAATTATAAAATCAGAGGGAACTACTGTCGTTTGGAGTCCTTATTTAAGCATAGTTACTTCCTGATGGAAAGCAGCTCATCTTCCCCGTTTTTTCTTCCTGACCACGACGCTGCAGCACCGGATTTCACCAAGCTGACGATACTGGACCCAGCCTCCAAAAGAAACCCCGTTCCCTCTCTTCCAAAACGCCTGCGGGTCCTTCCACACTTGCCAGTTCGCCGCCACCCACCACTTTTCCCCATCACAGCTTCTCCCGGGAGCCGCAGGGCAGCCAGGGCCGTGCCCGCCCGGCACCTCCGCCCGGCGCGGTCCCACCTGAGCACGACGGCAGCTCCCGGCGCCGCTCCCCGGGGGAGAGCGGGGAGCACAGAAAGGGATGAGCAGAGCGCGGGTGCGACCGGCCCATCTCCTGCCCGCTCATGGCGGCGGAGGGACGGGGGGAGCGGCGGCCGCCCCGCCCGGCGCTCCCGGCAGCGACGCTCACCTGAGGGACGGAAGGGGCGGCCGTGGCCGCGGGGGAAGGGCGGGATCGCAGCGCGGTGAGCACGGGGAGTGAGGGGGCGGCGGCCGCTGGCGAAGGGCGCCGAGGAGCCCCGTCCTTGCGGCCGCCCGTGCCCCGCACCGGTGCCCGAGCGCCGGGGCGGCGCCTTCGGGCGCAGCGCCGGGCGGGACCCGCGCTCCGAGCGCCGCCTCGCGGCGGGAAACGTCATCGCGGCCTCTCGCCGCACGCCGGGAGTTGTAGTCGGAGCCGCAGCCCGGGAGCGGCCGCAGCCGAACAGCCGCAGTCCGGGAGCCGCCGCCGCTCCCCGGGGCACCCCCGCGGGATCCACACCGCGGCCCCGCGTTCCTCCTCCGCGGCCCGTCCCGCAGCGCTCCCCGCGGGAGGCGGCGCGGGCGGGCCGGCGCGCGCCTGCGCGGGAGGCGGCGCCGGGCGGTGAAGTTGGTGGGGGCGCCGGTAATAAAATGGTAGGTTGTGCGAGCGGGGGGAGGGGATGCGGCGGAACCTGGGACGGGGGAGAGCCCTGGGCAGCCCCCGGAACAGCCCCCGGATACCCGCGCCTTCCCGCCGCTCCGGCTCCCGCTGCCCTGCCCGGGGATGGGGCACGACGCCGGGCGAGGAGGGCGGGGGACGCGGGGACAGACGGACACACACATCCCCCCCCCGTGCGGAGTCGCCCTCCCGCCGCCTCCTGCGCCGGGCCGGGAGCGGGGAAGGTCATCGGGGGCGGCGGGGGAGGGGAGGGGGCCGGGCACCGCCGCGGGTATTTCGAGCGCCGGCAGCCGGCGCGGCGCGTACCTTTCCCTTTTTTGGGATGCGGGTTGGCGGGGCAGGTCTCCGGAGCCCCGAGTCCCTCGCTCCCACCGCCCCTTTCCCCGCCGGGGACGCGGCAGGTGCAGCTGGAGGAGGTGGGAAAGGTGCGGTACAACTCTCCCTTCCCGGGCCGGGATGGCGGGAGCGGCCGGGGCTGTCCTGGGAAGGAAGGGGTTCGCCTGGTGCAGCGGCTCCAGCGCTTCCCTGGGGTGCGCGGTGCGGTGTCATTGGCGTGCGGAGAGGGCTCCTGGAAGGTGACTGAGCTGTCTGTACCGGGATGCGAGGTGCGCATCCTTGTCCGGGTGCCATCGGCGAGGGGTCACGCTGGAGACAGGACTCCCGGAGCTTCCCCGGCCCCGCAGGGAATGTAGTGGGTCCCGTGTCCGCTGCGCAGGGCGCAGAGGAACAGCGGGAACCGTACGACGTGGCAGGGTAGTGGGTTGGGGAGTCGAGTGTGTTTCTTATCGCTGATTCCTTCAAATAACCCAGTGTTTAATTTCGCAGCTAGAAAATATCCTTAAGCACCTTAACTAGGCTTGAAAGAGGACGTGGGGTTTGCTTCAGAGTTGTTGGCAGAGACCTCTGTTTTGAAGTGATTCTCACTAAGTTCGTTGCTCACAAGTTTATGTATCTAAGGAAGATCTTGGTGCAGAGACTCCTATAGCTAGACCTTAATGAAAATTTGGAGGCAGAGTCATGGTTACATAGAGCTTGCAGTCAAAGGATTATTGATTATTTTCTTACCAAAATACGCTGTAGTTATTTTTGCAGCTTTTTTCCCCCACTGTACATGTTTCTTGTATAAAAAGAAACTCTATACGTTTCTAATTATATTAAATTGAAAAATCTTGTAGGAAAGACCAAAGTCCTTATCTTGTTTATGTGATGTATGTCTTGTCTCAGGACTATCTGTACTCGAGATGTCACCATCCATATGTGTACAAGAGATAACACAGGACCATCTTTCAGTTTACTTGTTTGCTGCTGAATAAGGATTCAATTGTCCTTGGTATTTAAGAGACCAGTAAATTTTCCGTTATATCTGATGATTTAGGCTGTATTGAAGAACTTAGACAGATTTCTTAGGTTAGTTGTTGGCCCAGACCATGTGTTAAGTATGGTTTAACAAAACTGGAAAGTACAGAATATAATAAAAAACAGAGTTTGATTTAAGGTCTCTCCTCCTAACTTCACATAAAGAATAATGTTGAACTATATTACTAGCAAATTTGGTGTCTATAAAATCACCATTTCTATTTCTTGGGTGTTCCAGTTTAGGGATGTTATGTCAGTATGGTTGCTGCAATTGAGAGAAACATATTAGTTCCTGTATACCACTGTGATAGGCTGTATTGCTGTTTAATGTATTAATAATAAAAATGTATTTTTAAGAGTTTAATTAAAGTTTTAGATCACATTTACAGCAATTTTAGAGTCTCATTGTCACATTCAGCAGTTTCTGACATGTCCACTTCATCTATTTTCTGTCATATGTATTCTGTTGGAAATGTTTTCTAACATAATTATGTGAGAAATGCTTCTGCCTTTTTTAGCTGTTGACTTAGAGTGATTAAACTTTGTATTGTTTATTGTTGCTAGGAAAATATTAGGGAAACTCTTTCAGTATTTTTTCTGTATGTAGGAGGGATTCATACAGAATCTGAGAATCTGTAAGTTGTGCATTCCTAATTTCTTGTTTTTATAACCGCTAGGCATATCTTTCAGAAGATAACCACATTGTTATATGATGAAACTTGTGTTTACTGCTGTTACAGAAGAGAAAAATTGCATATATGAGCAATAAAGCAGAAATACAAGTTTGTTGCTGCCAGAACTTGTGCTGCTAAAAATGTATATATAGATGCTGTCACATCAGTTTTCAGAAGAAAATGGTGTCTTTTTGACTGCAAAAGAACAAGGCTTTTGTCTTCCTGTAATTCTGAAGTGAAAGTTGTCATCAATAAGACAACTAAAACCTTTTAAAGATAGGCGTTAGTAGTAGAATGCTGAAACAAACTTCTGGATGAGCTTCATTGGCTTCATTGGCTTTCCTACTTCTTTTGCATCCCAAAGCATAAGCTTAAATCGTCTCAGAAGGACAAGGTCCGCCAGTTTATGGCCTTTACCCAGGCTGGTGAAAGGACTGCTATATACTGCTTAACGCAGAATGAATGGAAACTAGAAGTGGCAACAGACAACTACTTCCAGAATCCAGACTTATACTACAAAGAATCCATGAAAAATTCAGTAGACAGGAAGAAATTAGAACAATTGTATAATCGATACAAAGGTAAGGCTTGTGGGTTTTTTGTTGTGGGTTTTGGGGTATTTTTTCCTAATTGTTTTGTTTGGGTGTTTTTTCTGCTTTTCCCTCTGCCCTTCTTATGGACTTCTAAGTAATGCTTCCTAGCTTTTGCTTGCCTCTCTGTGTTTGTGATGAGATAAGAATGAAAAAGGTTTAAAATGCTCGTAAGGATCAGTACACAACTTCTGTAGAGGTTAGAGCTTAAAAGTAGAAAATTTCCAATTGTGAGGAATAAATGTCAGCTATGTATGGTAGCAAAGTTTATTACACAACTTATTTGATTTATTGCCAGTGGTTGCTATTAAGTATGTAAATGTTGTAACTTTCCATGGCAAAATAATACATGTTGTTCTTACACTAATATTTGGAGGAGCTAATTATGTTCAGGACAGTAGGATTTCTACATATTGAAGTTTTAGATAGCATTACAACTAGGAGTCTGACAAAACAGTCAAATAAGAAAACTCAAACCCAAGAAACTCTCTCCTTATTTTAGTCTTCCTGCTGACATTACAGCAACAGCAATGTGCCTATTCAGAGATGCTTGGAGGGAAAGTCCCAGGAAAGTGAATTAAAGGCAGAGTTGGCTCCTTTTCCATGTTTTACTTTACAGCATTGTTAAAAAAGAACACAAAAATTATAAGGAAAAGACAGCCATGTAAATATAAGAATGTGCATGATCCAGCTTACAGTGCTTGCTGAACTGTGGCCATCTGACATGTTGGAGCAGTGCAGGCTGGAATCATGCCAGCCCCTGCTGAGATCCATACATCTTGTGTTTTAAAACATGAACTCTAAACCACTCTTCAGCTATGATTTTATGTACTTGAGATATATGTCATGCTTCATATACACTTTATCCTGTTCTTATGATATTGTTTGCACTTTCGTTCCTCTTTACATAATCTGTTTTAAGTGTATGGATTCTTTAATATTCCATTATTTTGTGGTAATGAATTGTGTAGGGAAAAAGAGCCAACAAGGCTATAGCATTTTCTTTGTGAACCTAGAGAACCTTTTTGGGGTTTTAAATATTTATATATTTACATATATATAACACATATACATGTATCTAAATCTTTGCTTGCTCCTTGCATGTCAGTCTTGGAGATTGCTGGGTCAAAAATATGTATTCAAATTCTTAAATGCTGCTAAGAATATCTAAAATGGAAAAAAATTATCACAAGTGTTATCATTTTCTAGCAGTGGGAAACTGCACCATTTGTCTTTTGTGGAAGGAAGTCTAGTCAGTTTTATGTCAGTGTTTAAGTTTGCAGTACACCTTTGTAGTTCTGGCACTTCAACACTTAAAGTTGTAAACTTGAAAAACACTTCACAAGATTTGACATAAGACAAAAATATCAGTTAGGCACCTTTCCTTTTTTCATATCTACCTTAAACCTGAGTCATTAGCCCTGCGACAGCAAGGAATTCCTTTGTTCTACAGGGCCTATACAATATTGCACTATCCTTGAAATCTGACATGAAATGTCTTTCATTTTCTATGTTGTCTTTTTGTTAGTTTTCTTATCTGTTTACCCAGCAACTCTGTTAAAACAACAATTTTATTTTTATTTGTAGTTACCTGGATGACATGAAACATGATAGAGATGAAACAGTCCTTGTTGAAATCCATATGAATTTTTTTCCACTGATTGCAACACAGTGCAATCACCTTCGGTTCTTCAGTTACTCCCCAAATATTCAAGAAATATGTTTTACATGTCTTAGAACTAGTTGAATAGGTACATTCTCTTGTTATTCAGGATCAAAGGTCCCTGAATTATACCATGGTTGTAATTCTTTGTTTAATGGGTATAAGTCCTTATCTTTGCTAAATTAACTTCCTCTCTGGAATTTACCATTTCTTTCACTGTAGTATTGGCTGAAAAAATAGAAGAGAGCTTAAGAACTAAAATAAAAATTAAAAAAAATTGATTTAGACTTGATTTCTTTTTAATCAACTTATTGGATTAGGACTTAAAGATAGCATGGTTGAAAATCTTACCCATTTAAAGAGTTAGTCTTAAATTTACTTGAGGGATGTTTTTCTATAAAGCCCAACTTATGATACTTAAATGTCTTCCTATCAAAAGCTGGGAAAGAGTTTTGTGGTTTGTAAACTGTCAAGCTTCAAAAACTAGAGGTGTAATTTTATTTTCTTTTTTGTCATAATTTGATTTTTTTTTTGTTCCCCTCACCAATTATTTGAGTTTACATGCAGGAGGAGTTGTTTGTTTGGGGTGGGGAGGGTTAAGAGAGAATTTTGTTACAGAATTATTAGAAGACATCTACCCTGACATAGGTAGTTAGGAAGTGCAGTTCTAACATTCAGAAAGATTCTGCTTAGTAGTACTGAAACGTGGTATTTCCTAAGCTGTATGTTTAGCTAAAGTTTCTGTTATGCTAAGGCATTGTTTGAACAATGACTTATAATTGAAAGCCAAAAATGTTTAAATGTGGTCTTTAAACATAGTTATAGTGGATACTCATACGTCCCTATCAGGAAAAAGAATCTGTGGGGTCACATGATATGTGTGTTTTTGTTGGGTGTGATTTTGGGTTGCTTTTTTTTCCCAAAAATATTTTATAGAGCATTATGGAGAGAAAGCAAAACTGTTTTGTTGGCATTAGCTGATGAGTGTAGGAAAGAGTTGCAAACCAATTTCTAGATAAATTCACAGAATACTTTATTTATTGATTCTTTCTGAGGTACTTTTAACATTAACTAGATTTCAAATGAAAACATTTGTGAATGTTATGAAAAAATTAAGACCTATGTTATGCAGCACATCAGAGTTGTCATATGATCATTTGTAAATATTTTTGTAAGTAATTATAATTCTCTTCTTTGTATTTTGAACTGCAGACCCACAAGATGAAAATAAAATTGGCATTGATGGGATTCAGCAGTTTTGTGATGATTTAAGCCTGGACCCAGCCAGTATCAGTGTCCTGGTTGTAGCATGGAAATTCAGGGCAGCTACTCAATGTGAATTCAGTAAAAAGGAATTTGTTGATGGTATGACAGAGTTGGGGTAAGTATCCATTTCTTCATAGTTCACAATATAAGGCCTAAGCTTGGTTTCCACTTAAAGCATTTCCAGTTAAATTGTGTGAAGCTTTAAAAAGCTGGTGAGGCTGGTGCCAAGCTTAACAGGTGTTAAATGCCTATAGTGTCTTGTCTGCCTTAAGTTGGTGCTTTATTGCAAAGCCTTAAGAATGACCACAGCTTGGGGGGGAGCAAAGCAATTTCTACCTGTGCAGCAAGGGAGGGAGGCAGATACACATACCTTTTTCTGTAATTCATAGTAACACGTGCGTGGTTGTGTTTAGGATTTGAGTTGGACCACGTGCTTTTAAAAAATGGAAATCACTGGAGGTGTATAAAGGGAAAAAAAATTCAGTGTTGAAGCAGAAAAGAAACAGGAAAACAGAAAAGAACCTTCATTTCTTTCCCTTTATCTTGTAACCACTGAATGGACCTTTTTTTTCTTTTTGCTTGTTTTACCACCCGTGCTTTTCTCATATTGCCTTTTATACTAGATACTTCATTTGTGCAAAATATATATGAGAAGTTGAAATAAAAATGAGGGCATTGTTAGTAGAAAAGGTTATTTAGTCAGACTGTGATGTAACTGATTAAAAAAAAATTCCTTCCTGGATTATGGAGCTGTTCTGAATAACAGACTTTGAGGTTAAACGTTGCCTCTGTTGGCAATAAAGTCAAGAATGTATCATCATAAAATAATACTTTGTGTATAACTTTTCCTTGCAAGAGGGGCAGTATTTCTAATATAGAGAGATGTCAAAATGACTTCTTTTTAACAGATTGCATTAAATAGGTCAGTAATTACAGGTTATTACTAGTGCATGTTTTTTGTAGCTAAATAATCTCATTTGATCTTAGAATGGCACCTTTCTACAGCAGACCAACTCCTAGCAAATGTGGTGGTTGTTTCTTGAGCAGGGGTCCCAGCAGTCTGTTGTTACTGACCCCATCAGTTATTGACTTATTTTTAAGCTTTCCTTTTTAGATATTAATAAATTGTGATGAAATAATTTTTCATATTTTATGAACTCCACTGGTTTTTTTTCCCATTGGATAGCTATGGGTAGAAATTACAAGAATAATGGTTTTCTAGCCATGGACAGCAGTTAAGTGCTCATGCCTTTATATTAAAGGTTGCTATATTATTTTTTAAATATAACTGATTAAAAAGATTTTGCTAAACCACTTGTGACTTCTGGATTGGATTTTGTTTTGTAACTTTATTGTCACATTGCTGCTATGACCTTCTGACTGTCTCTGACACAGTTCATAGAGGTCTGTGATTTTTTTTTCTCTCTCAACACACAATAAACTGTTCTTAGGAGCCTAATATGATCATGTCTGCTTGCCACTGGTCTAGCACTTACTGAGAATTTGGAATGATTTTGTTACATACTTGGAGGTGCAGTGTCTGTGGTTTTTAGCAACGTACATAAGTGAACATCTGAAAGAAAAGAAATTCCCTGAGGCTTAGATCATATAGCATTTTTAGGATGCATATGGGAAGCATATTTGTTGACTAGATCAAGTCCCAGTGAAACTGAAATTCTCCGTTGAGTACTGTTGGCAGAATTCTTAATTTTATTTTCACCAGGTACTGCTGTAGGCCAGAAAGGTACTTATTTTTATCTGTACCATGCAAGACAGTTAAAACTGCATTTGCATTTTATAGATTTTGTTAGTTACCCATCCTTTAATAGAATTTTTTCTTGAATCTTTAGAGTAAATGCAAACATTTAGCTACAGAAAACTTTCAAATGCACCATGTTAGTTATGATAGCTCTTTCTTTTGAAACCCGCTTGCTTCAGTTTGAGTTTCTGGGTACAACTCAAGATACTGGTAATGTCCTGTAAACCGTGAGTATTCATTTGATGCCTTGGCATGGGGGAAAACTCTTTTTCTTTGGTGTCTTGTCAGCTCAGGTGCATTCACAGAAAATGCTTCAGTTGTGTTATTCGGGGTGTGTCTCTGTTAGAATCTCAGTAACTTGATTCTGTCTTAGTTTACCTGTGCCAGGCTGTTAAATGGTTTGTTGGCCTTCAGGCTATCATCAAAGGCTCGTTTTTCTTCCTGGGTTTTATCCTCAAGTGTTCTATGGCTGGGAGAGAATGACTGCAAATAGTAGCTCAGTTCGGTGGAAAGCCCTCTAATGCTAAGAATAACTCTAAACATAGCGATGCAGCTCCTTCTTTACGAGAGCAGGGAATAAGCAATATCTATTTAGAATAAAGCAAAACACTTGTGTTGCAAGAGCTATCTAGGGGGAGAGGATAGCAGATTTCAGTGAGGCCTATATGTTCTTTAAGAACAGGATAGCATCTGTTCATAAATTCATGAAGGGACAGAAAGGATGTTAAACCACTGAACCCTGTTTGTGTTGTGTACGTAATGGTTGCAGGCATACAGTGTTCTGCTTCAAATGCCTTAGTAAAGGCATGTGAGTGTTTATGTTTTTAAGAATGCTGTCCACAAAGATACTCTGTTTTTATCTTAACTACTGTTTTGTTTTACTCTGAAACTAAACCATAAAAAAGGGGGGGGGTGTGTAAAAAGAAATCCTCAATATTTGAAAATAATGTAACCTCTTTTGAACAGGTGTGACACCACAGAAAAACTAAAAGCTCTATTGCCAAGACTTGAACAAGAGCTAAAGGATCCAACAAAGTTCAAAGATTTTTATCAGTTTACTTTTAACTTTGCTAAAAACCCTGGACAAAAAGGTCTAGGTAAGTAGAAAAAAAATCAAGAAAATGTCTACAGTCAGTGAAGTCAATTCCAAATACTTCCAGTACTACAGTATTCTCATTGGTGATGGTATATAGTAAATTCATTATTGATTTCTTTCGCTGACTTTTCCTCTTTCCCATCTTCTTTCAATTAATCTCTTCTTTAATGTCCCTTTGGTACAGATAACGTAATAGGTTTTTCTGCTGGTATTGACATTCTCTCACCTCCTGTCAAAAAAGTTCCTGCAGTTCTTAGAGACCCATCAAATTTAATTTTTTTAAAATACTGAATTAATGAGCTCTTCGTGTTCCCATTTCGCTTAGAACTACTGAAACAAGATGTCCATATCAGCTCAGGAAGAGGAAGAAAACTCTGAGCCAAAATTACTGTTCTTCCAAAAATTTTTAGTTTTAGCTCACAGTTTTTATATAAAGTTTAGAAAAATAATATTATGGAAGTGGTTCAACTAAAAATAGGCATACAGTTAATAAAGCATTAAATTATTATTTTTACAAGGTTTGAGATTTGTCCCAGTCCATGCCTTGTTTTGCTGGAGTAAAACTCATACATTATTTAAAATAAATTCAAATCTGTTACTCTCTTCAAATTTAGTTTGTGAATAGATGAGAAAAAACAGTAAGATGAAATCCACTGTCTCATCAAACTTATGTCCACTTTCAAAAGACACTGTGTAGGAAGGAATTAAACTGTACTGCACATTGAATATAACAGCACTGTCCCATCATCATTGTTTTCTTTGTGCTGTGGATGAGAGGAAGTTGTTTGGGTTTTTGGTGGGTTTTGTTGTTGTTATTGTTGTTGCTTTGTTTTTTAGCATAGCCACTTTAAATCTGTGTCTGTGTTACTTGGCAAGTTTATAAATATGTTTTTCTCAAGAACTATTGGAAGAGTAGTGAGATGGAGGAGGAGAATATTGCTAGAGACGTCAACCAGGAGCGCCTGTTCCACGTTCTTTCTTGGGAACTACTTTGAATAATCTCTTCATTTTTTGCAGCAGTTTCATTTTTCATTACCTCTGTCACTCTCATGACTTTCATGCCACTTTCTGTGACACAGAAAACAGATAGTTTTGTGGTGGTTCTGTGAGGCTGGTTGGAATTCCAGTCCTTTAGTTACTCTTCATTAACAAAGCTAAGTGCTTTCAAATTGCAGAAAAGGTAAGTCAGTTACAGCTTAGGCTGGAATTTATGGGACACCTGAAGAACTGAGTGTGCTGTTTATTTGACATGGGGAGGGAACTTACTTGTTTTCCATTACTTCTGTTTGTTCAATATTGGAGGTCCTTTCATATTTAAGGCTGTCTTCTCTGTTGTGTAACAATGCCACTTTTTGTGAATAAAGCACCTAAGTTCCTTCTTACACTACAGAGTTGAGGTATTAGCAGAAGAAAGAAAACGGTAGTGCGTCTTTTTTTTTAAACAGAAATAACTCTTGAGAATAAACCTTACCAGAAATAGGTCTGTGATAGACACACTGACTTAAACAATCATTTTTCATGTTTATTATCTTAGCATATTGAAACCATAAGAAATTACTGAAATATCTCTAAAATGTTCAAACAGCAATGCTTTGGATATGAGTCATGTTTATTGTTCCATCAGTATTTTAATACGTATCAGATTACTTTTTTAAAATCTCTTTCTGCTGTTTTAAGAAATGATAAGCAGCAGTTACTTTAATTTTTCTTCCCCATCTCCCCTGAAAAGCATTAGGAAATACAGTGATTCATGGGTTCCTTTTTAATATGCCAGCTGATCTTTAAATTTAAAAGACAGAGAAACTCTTCTGTAGTGTCTTCCATTTTGCCAGACAGGATCGATATCTACCAAAACCATTCCTTGCAGATGTTTTTCTAACCAAATGCTCAGTGATCTGCTAGCAGTATTTTTGATGGCAGGTCTCACACATCTGTGTCCATGCTTGCTTGAACCTATTGTTAGATTTCTATTTTCTTTTTTTCTAGCATATAACTTAAATCTCTGTTCCTGAATTTTCCAATTCACTACTTACCTGACCAAAGTAAATATGCAGAATGCATGTTTCCTTAGAGTGAGTAACAACTTCTTACGTATTTGGCAATTATGTATGCGCCTTCCCTTAGTCTCTAGACTGAGTAAAACCAGCTACTGTTGATGCCTTTAGGCATCACCGTGATAAATTTTATCTCGTAGCTCTCTGATAGTGATAGTTTGTTCTCCAGCTCTTCTCCTTTGCAATCCAATTTATCTTTTGTCTTGTAGCACCCAACCAAACTGGGTATCTTCCACATGCCTTAGATATTTTGCTCCTTGTTTTGCATCCCATCAAGTTTGCTTGTTTGATACTGTCTGCAGTTTGCAGTGTGCAGCAGTGGTTTCTTTAGGGTTTCTGCAGTGCTCCCAGCTAACTTTGATCTTTTCTTTCTGCAGTTGATTATTCCCACTAGCTATATGACTTCTCTTTAATGAGATCTTTCTTATTTACTTCCAAGTAGTTTTCCAATTTGTCCGAATAATGTTGAATGCTAATCCTGCCTTCTACCATGCTACACTTTTATAAGGTCTTGTGTAAGTTGCAAATTTAATAAAAGTTTTCTTTGTTGTATTGTCTGAGTTACTTAAGTATTGGGCAGTGTCAGATACTCCATGGATGAGTTACTTTCTCCCAGTTTGTCTGAGAATGACTGAGGTTCTTCTAGAACTTCTTTGACCTTTATGTAGTTTCAAAGATGGTGGGTAGCAGTTTGAGATTGCTGCAGCATACTGAGATGAATTTCACCATTCACTTTGGGCAGCTGTGCTTTAAGACTCAATTTCTAAAAGTTGTTTCTGAAATAACTGTCAGTTTTCATTGAATTTATTTGCCTGGAGCATATCTTGAAAAAAAATCTCTGTGTGTCCCATAGATTTTTCTTTCCAGGGTTATCAGCAGGATACATAGTATTTTTATCATACCAGCTGCCATTTGTAAGGGAGTGGAATGGCACAGAAGCCCTCCTTAGAGGTGTTTTTTTGGTTATAGAAAAATTTCGGTGTTACATGACACAGATGTCTTCATAATGCAGTGTGGATTTTGCTCCAGGAAAGCAGTCTTCATTGGAAGGGGAGGGGTGTGGTTTTATGTTTTATTTATTTATTTTTAGAACAGCCTGTCCTCTGTTGCTTTTTTATTTCTTCTTCTTCTGCAGTTCCCTTCAAAACCAATGCAAGAAATTCTGCCCTTATGTAATTAGAATCCTCTCCAATAAATTAAGTTACATCTGTTCTGCCATTCCCCAAAATAGGCACAGAGTTCGGTACACCAATACTCATTCCTAGAAATAGAACAGCCTTTTATAGGAATCTCTTTTCCACAGTTTGTGTGGTGATAGTGGGGAATTTTTATTTCTCTTTTTATCTGTGTGACTTCTGTCTCTATAGCCTCATCCAACTTGAATGTTCCATTTACTTTTATTACCTTAATATTACCAAGTAGTGTGTTTCAGTCTGGACACATGCTGTTTAAAGAAGTGAAAGTAGTAGCACTCCCCCAGTGTGACAGCTCGTGTAAGTAGTGAGATGCCGGAGGCAAAAGCACAGTGCATAAGATCTACCATAATTTTCTTTAAGCAGAAAATGATGTTCTGATTAATGTTACTCAGCACCCAACTGTCAAGTGTGTTTCAGATAAATCTGAATAGATTTGATCGTGATCAAAGAAGAAGATGGATGCTTATAACTGCTAAGTCTGTGGCTCTCCAACTGGTGGACAGAATTCAGGCAAAAAAACATAGCCAAGTTTCAACACAGCAGTGCCACTTCAATGGCTGACTGTTGGATCTGGCATATATCATTTTTAGATATAATAAACTTCATTTGCATGTTTCCTATATATTTTGAGTTGTAATAGGGGCAGTTTGTTAAGGTCTGGTTTACCAGAAGACTTTAAAAGAATTATTATGGATAACTGTGATTCAGTCTGTTTAATGTGCACTCTCGTGTTCTCACTACTGTATATTGTACAATAAATCTTTAAGTTTTGCATGTTGCAGATTTGGAGAGGTTTATCTTGCCTTCTGCTCCTAAATTTTAGCTGTTCTACTGCAGTAAGAGTGAAATTTAGTATTCTAACTCTTGGTTGATAAGTGTACTAAAGAACAGGATTATAAGTCTTTTGTCATATTGCATACAGAGGAGTTCAGATTTCTAAAGCCACTGTTCAAGCTCAAAACAAGGCCTTAGCTTCATCTTTGTTTTCCTTTTTTTGAACCTGATACTTGCTGTGATTCTCTTAGTGGGTCTCCCTTTGAGCCTCAACAAGACATGCTCAGGAGTTTATTACAGTTTGTTTCAGCACCAGGAGGAGCTTAATGCATTCTTTCATGGTCTTCATCTTTCAACATGGAAACGAAAAGCTGATTTGGTCCTTCATCACTTCTTTGTGATCCCTTCGACTGCTTGCTGGCTCAAAAGGTTGTGCTTCCTTCTCTCTGCCAGTTGCCTGGGATCAAGCAAGAAATGAAAGATGAGGAGGGCATTCAGACTTGAATCAAATATTACCTCAAGACCAGAAGAATGACTCTCTTTACATCCAGTATGTGGACTTCAAGGAGGTTTCATCTTCTATGAGCAGATGAGTATAATGTGCTCTTTTTAATTGAAGCAACATCAGCTTTGGCTTTTGTCATAGCAGTATCTCAAGATGCTTTGAAGAGACCCTTAGACTTTAGGGAAGGATTTTTTTTTTTCTATTTTGTTTTTCTTTCCCCCTACCTAGTTATCAAAACTTCCTCCCCTTTCAGTGAAGAATTAGACTGATCCATTCATAGGCTATTTGTAGGAGTCAGTGGATGGAAGACACTGAAGAAGTTCAACTTGAATTTCATGTTTATTTTGAAAGAGGTCTGTGGATGCTGCATTTTAGGTGTTCCAATGGCTTTGGTCTGTGTGTATGGTACTTGCTTTATTTTTGTTCACATTTTTCTTGCTGAAAGTACCAGCAGTTTAACTTGGTGTAAAAGAGGTGCTCTCATCAAAAAAGGCCAATAGTAGCAGCAAAAATGTGGCATAACTGCCACTTCTAGTAATGCTTTATTGATTCTTTTACTCATGTTTGGCCCTTATTTCAGAAATATATATCCAGTCATCTTTAAGGCATCTGTTGTAGATTATCTGAACTGTATGTGCTGAGATTTGCAGAGGCAAAAGGATTTTGGAACTGGCTACAGTCAGGTTCGTTAGGCCACACTCGAACTGATGTTTAGATAGCCATCTTCTAAGTCTAGCTTGTATTTCAAAGCAGTTCAGTTTCTGCTTTTGTACAGTTGATGCTTAAGATAATAAACATGAAAGGTTCTGCATGTGGTCGGCTGTTTCAGTGTGGCAGATGCCGAGATAGAGCTAATGAGCACAGTCAGTTCCTGCAGTGCTCCTCTGAAATCCGTATGCTGTGCTTTACCATTCTTCCTTGTCCACTACAGACACTTCATCTGACACTGTGCATTGTACGTCCCCTAACACAGAGCACTGAGAAACTCATTGCTAATGTCTTTGCAGGGATGAGCGGATCCAGCTCAGCAGGATCCGGAGTTTAGCTATGATCTGTATCAGTATCACACCCTTTAGCTGGTTTTTTTTCCCTTCTCTCTTCCTTCTGTGGGGGAACTTCCATTTGCAGATAAAGGCTGTTTTTCTCTGAACTTCTGGGAATTTGTTGGGACATTTTTGGGTTGAATCCTGATGGTACTTTCTTCTTATTTTGCTGATTAGGAAAGAAGAAACTAATTCTTGTGTCCGTGTTCTTAATTTGGAGGCAAAAGAAGACTCTTAAAATCATTCAGAGATGAGGAAACAAGGAATTGAGTAACTCATTGAATCTTGCAAGTATTTCTTTGATGTTTATTGGTCAGGCAGCGGGGTAGTCAAGCAGTGTGATAGTCCAGTTGTTGAGATAGATTGACACCGGTTTCCATTGTTCCCATAGCTGCATCCATTTTGACACAGTGTCAATTTAGGTGAATTAATGATAATATTCTAACAGTTTCAAACATGACTTCATGAACAGCTCTTGTTCAGGGCAGACTGAGAGCTGGAAAGGTCTATTTGGCAGAGGATGACGAGTGGGTGCTGCAGTCCTGGAGTGCAGTTTTGGCACAGCAGGTCTAAATGAACTGCGTTTTGTGTTCCTCACAAATCCTACTCTCCAGCCAATTCCTTGCTACCTGTTGATTTCTCTTTTGGTTTTCACTCTTCCTTGATTTCTTGCATGCAGTGCTTTCATTGCCCTTGTCCAAAATCATAATACAGGCATAAGGAACTTATTTTGATTCTTATTTTATTTATGCAGCACTCTAATAATGATTTTTTTTCTCTGTTAACAAGATAAGTATTTGATCAAATCTTGAAAGTAGACACAGGCTGTCTAACTGATAATGTATTTCTCCTTCTGCATTAATTATGCTATTTGTTATCACTTCAAGCTTTCTGTGCAGGGTAGAAGAGGCTGAGTTTTTTTAAAAGCAATTTTAGAATGAGGCTGTAATGTTTCAGAATAGATCATACTGCACACAAAATACTGTATTTCTGACTGTGAAAAGCTGATTGTTTAAGGGGCTGCATGACATAAAACTTGCTAGATGTTGACATTGAAAATACTTTGAAAGGAAAGGTTGAAAGGAAAGCTCAAACCAGTCTATAATGTACAGTAATGATGTGGTATTTTTGATGTTCTTGAAACATTAACCATTTAGCCATTTTATGTTTTGGATATGAACACGGATGTTAGCAATGAAGTATCTTCTAAACTGATCCTTGCCTGGGGGTTTTCAGAGATTCGTGCATCTGTCTTTTGCTTTCCATTTGTAAAACTTGCATTATTAGTCTATAGTGTGGGAAGCACATTTTTTGTACAAACACAGCATATTTTATAATCGTAGTTTGATTTTTATGTGTAATGATGCCTTCATATCTATGCAGCATTGAAAAGTGTACTCGTAAGACTGCCTGGGAAATTCTTGCCTTGCAAATCATCTCCTGGGGGGATGCAGAACTCAAATGGCATAAGGCCTTTTCTTTTCTTTTTTTTTTTTAATATCTATTAGTGCGGCACTAATTGTAGCCGATACAGTCTTCACAGCGCTGCTGTTTATTGATACTACTGTGAGCATCCTAATGTAGAATTGGAACTCTGTAATTAGGTCTTCCCTTTAAATCCAGAAAATCTTTTTTTGTCCTCCAGTGTGAAGTTTTCCAACCTAGGTAGGGAATTGTCTTCAAGCAGATGTGTAGCCATAAGCCCAGAGAATGTGGCACACCTGAAGGCCTAGTTTTCTCATGTGCTGTAAGACTGCATCAACTGGCACCACTACAAAAGTGATAGTCCCATCTACTCCTTTTGTTCAAATAACTCTAGTTCATGGGTTTGTGGGATTACAGTGAACCTCAGATGTGGGAGATTGAGGGTTTTTTATTTTTTCCCTTGGGCAAATTTTGCCAAGATCAGAACTTTCTTCCTTGTGCCTGATGGGGAGAGCAACTCCAGTGTGGACCAGTTTCAGCCCCTGCAGAGCAACATCCTCAGTGGAATATGCATTTGTCATGCATTATAGCAAATAATTCCTATGTCTTTGTGCAGGAGAAGACCTTGGCACACACATGTACTGTGCCCCTCAAGTATCAACTTAAGATAGTATTTCACATGTGTTTTCACAACTTCGCAATAATCAAGATCACCTTAACATAATACTGAATTTGACACAAACACCCAGATAAAACAAGGAAGTCTGATCACTTCTGTCTCTTGCAACTCTTCTCTTTTGGCATCCTCTACCATCTTTGTTTCCCTACCTCTACTTTCTTTCTTTTTTCATGGAATGTTTCCATCAGAAGTATAAAAATTCTTCAGCTGTTAAGGTGTTATTTCTTCTAAGTGCATTTTGCTTAATGTTGTCACATGATAGATTTGCAAGGTTTGCTTGGAAAGGTTGAGTCTTCATAAAGAAGCCTGAGTGAATTGGATCAAAGCCAGTCACTTCACAGTGAAGTTTAGAAGCTCTTTAGATTATTCAAATCCCTCTCTTTTCATTTCTTTTGCTTTTCATTTGGCATAACAGGTAAGAGTAATTAATCTGCATATCTAAGCAGCAAGTAAATGCTATTAATTACTTGCTTCTGCTTATTTTTTGTGAAAAGCGAGCATGGTGGCAAAGGCAGGAAAAACTGAAAGAAGTTTATTAGGGCATAATTAGGACATAATACAAGTTCTGCTCTGAAGAGCACGCTGATCGTAGTAGGACAAACTGGCAGCACTGTCTTGATATAGCGAGGTAGAGGTGTATTGCATTTCTCTACATCTTAACTGTTGCACTTTATCTGTGCCCCAGCCCTGTATGATACAGGGACTCTAGGGACATGGCTATGTTAAGATCTGGAACATCTCCCTCATTCTTGAAACTTGATTTCAGGTGACAGAGTGTCCTTTGATTTGTAATGATATGTACAGTGTCAAAACCTGTGCTGCTTTCTTGCAGGTGGAGGTCTTAATCTGCTATGACAGTACTTTATGTTAAGCTTTATGTTCTGTTTATACTTCCTTTACCCTGAAAGCACAAGCTGAAATATTTTTGTGGTTTAAGAAAGACTGTGCTTTACTTTGTGGCTGCACAGCAGTAAGCATACTCTTAGTGCTGTTACCTGGAGGAGCAGGCACAGAAGCCATTAGGTATTGTGAGTTGCTGAAGATGAAAATAGGCCTTCAAGTAAACATTCTTTCCACCCGTGAGCTGCATCTAATATTGCTCCTGCTTTTCTGCTGGAGTATGTGGCAGTGCTGTTATCTTCCCTCGAACTCTGCTCTCAGATCACTGGTCATGATGCAGAATAAGGGCTGCTTTCTTGGACTTGCATTTTCAGTATTGTGCGTAGATGTTTATCTATGGAATGATTCCAGAAGAAGAGAGTTATTGCTCTAGGGGGTTCTCTGGAATCATAATGCCACAGACAATTTTTTTTATTTTTTTTACCCTTGTGTCCTTCAATTCCCTTCACAGTCAAATTTGTATAAAATGTGATAAATCAGGAGGAATTGACACCTGTGGATTTAAATGTTTGTGTTCCTACCAATATTTGCTGTGTTTATGCATGTGTATATATTTTTATTTTTTAATTTGCAGACAGAGTTATCGATAACTATTTTGTTCTGTTTCTGTAGATTTAAAGTAGCTTTAATCTGGTACTGATGAGCAGTGACAAAAATATTTTACTCTTAATGATTTTGATGTTCAGTACACAATTTATACTGTTACTGCTTGTCTTCTGCCTTTTGGTTCAGTGAGAGTAGAAAAAAATTCCCTTTTTTTTTAGTGATTTTAAATGAATGTTATTCATTTGTACCATAATATACTGGATGTAGCATTAATAGTTTAACCATAAGGGTTTTATTGCATATGATTGGCTGTGTATTTATGTGTTGCTTTATCTCTTGCAGATTTAGAAATGGCAATTGCATATTGGAATTTAGTCTTGTCAGGAAGGTTTAAATTTCTAGATCTTTGGAATAAATTTTTGTTGGTAAGTATGCACTGTATTCCTTACTGCCTGTCTCAGTCTATAGTAGTCTGGCTGTTGTAGGTTGTTTGCTTCCAATAAGAAAAAGACAGGATATCTGAATATTTCCTTTGAACTTTTTCCTTTTTGAAAACTGATATAAAATAGTCTTCAATCAAGCCAAATTAAATCTTCTCTATATAATTTTCCAATTGAGAAGAATGCAAAATGATGTAACAAAGCAATAGAGTATTCTGCTTCTTGATCCTGTATGTATCCTCCTACTTATGAAAGTTTCTGCATGAAAGGAAGCTGTGATTGTAGATTCCACTGATGCTGTCTTTATTCTCAAGACATCTGTGATTATTGTCAACCATGCATTTTACCATGCTCTGGCTTTTGTAGTATTAATGAATAAACTCAGTCTTTTTATGTCAGTCATAACAGAATTGATATTTAACTTCAGAGACTTCTAATTTTAAGCAAAAGGTTCTTGCCTGAGTAATTAGTTTGACTAATTTTTTAGCTACTAGTTGTGAACTGATCTTGACAGTTTTCTTATTACTGTTGCAATTCTGTGGGCAGTGGAGTAAAGATGCATAAATTAAACCTCAGAAATTGAAAAATGTTCATATAAAACATCTGTTTTACTCATCCATATTTCTAAATTTGCATTTCTATGTAATTACAAAAAAGTTACATAATGTATAATTTATCTTGATTTTTTTCCCCAATTTATCTTTTTATTTGTAGTTTCAGAGAAATAAGAAGTCTTTCTGCATTTTGTCCCCTAGTGTTTAGCAGGGGAAATGCATACTTCTTGAAATATTTTCCTGACGTTTTTTCTAAATTTTTAGGCAGTATATTTATTTGAATCACTGAATAATGTACCAGTTTCATAAAGACAACTTGTGAAAACATTTTATATTTTAACTGCCTTAATAAACTTAACACATCCAAATTCAGATCTATAAATGTAACTGAAGAAAAATCTGCAGGTTTTTTGCCCACTTTGCTAGGTGATCAAGTTTGTTACAACAGATAGTTCTGTGGATCTCTGTTTCAAGCAGTGGTCTAGATGACCTGGTATAAAGTGTGTTACTTCAGAAGAACTATTTAAACTGAATGTTTACTTCAGAAGAAAGGTTTAAATTAAAAGATTTAAACCTAAGAAAGAAGCAAGCTAGGACTCTTTCAGGTCTTCTGTTGGTTATTTGTTAAGATGAAGAAGATGAAATGTTTGTAAATGGTGTTTCTCTGTATATGTCAATGTAAAATACTACTGTGGAATTTGAAAGTAGTTTGGATTGAACAGTACCATTTTTTTTCCATTATAGGAACATCATAAAAGATCAATTCCAAAAGACACTTGGAATCTTTTGTTAGACTTTGGAAATATGATTGCAGATGATATGTCCAACTATGATGAAGAAGGTAAGCAGTATCTGAATATCTTAAAAATGAATATCTATAAAAATTAGCAGACTTAAAATATTGCTATAAACAAGCAAGAGAATATGTTGATACCTCCTATCTTGATGTGTTTATCCTTAGAGTTTTAGCTGCAAATACAGTGTCATACTTGTTGCCAAAACAGTAATGATAAGAAGGTTAACTAGTTTGCTGTAATATGTAAATAGAAGTAGAAATACTGTCACACCATTATATAGCACGTTATTTGAACATGTTATGCTGCAAATCTCTCAGTGAAATCGAATGTTTTGTTCAAAATTTTTGCTAACCTAAAAACAGTTTACACTTTGTTACTAATTCTGTTTTGGAATGTGTACAGAAATATGTCCTAAGATATGAATGGCTGTAATGAATGCCATGGTTTTGCTATCAACTAATGTTTATATTTGTGGTATGAATTTTTATGCTTGCTTGTCTTAAGAACTACTGCTGCAAGAAGAGATTCAAATGTTGAATTTATTAGTTAGGTGCTTTTTTTCAAGTGTTTTATCATCTTGTGTGTTAAAGCTAGACTAGGCCAGAAATGTCAAGGTGAGCTTCTGATCTCTTGTATTTAAAGACTACACCGATTTGTTGCTGATAATAATAGAATAATTTCTGAATTGCTTGACTTCTCTTTAGGGGCATGGCCTGTTCTAATAGATGATTTTGTGGAATATGCACGACCAATAGTCACAGGAGGAAAACGTAAAACTTCCTAACCCCAGACCTGTCAATATGGACTAAACATGCTCTCTGAACTGCACTGGGTGATGAAGATTTGTTAACTGAAAACTGCACATTTTTGCTGGTTTCAGTAGTCGTGATGACATTCTGCAGACAAAACTGAAATTCTTCCTTTCTGCCTAAAGAATATGATGGCTGACTTGTGGACACTTCAAGAACAAACTCAGAAGATAGTTCAGGCTGTTTGTAGGCTATTGGCTTCAATTATTGTACTGGTTATATCATATAGGATGTAGATTTTGCATGATTTTATACTTTGGAGAAGTTTAACTAGAGGCCGTTTTATTAAAGTTTTGACAGCACAGCATGCCATTCAGTTCATGATCCAAAGTGAACACCAGCAGTTACATAAATAAAACTGTATTATATTGTACTTATATTAAAAGCAGTATTTGTGGTATATAAATTAAATCCCTAAATAAAACTTACGCAGTATGTTGTATTTTTATAAAAGTTAGTTCTGTGGATCTGTCCTAATACAGAATTGTAACAAAACCAAACAAAACAACTTAACGCTTTTTTTGTTTTTAATTGTTGCCCAAACTTACAGTTTTTACTTTTAAGTCCTAGTTGTGTAGATTAATTATATCCAGCCTTTTGTTTTCTCCCAATGAGATTAATATCCTCATTATTCTTCTTGAAGCGCTTGGACATGTAGGAATAGCATTGCTGAGGACAGGCTGCTGCTCTATGCTGTATTGCACCTCCAGCTTTTTTTTATTAACCATTTCAAAATAGACATTGAACAACCAAAGATGCTTTTATAATTCATGTTTGATTATCTTAATTCAGTTAGTCTTCAGTTATGTGTTTTATTTATTTTCAATAAGGAACTGGTGGAATGTGGATGTTATTGATAGCTTGAAACATACCATAAATTCTAACTAAATGCAACATAGTTATAAATGCAGTTCCTGGCACTTCTCACAGAAAATGTATGTGAATAAGCCCAAAGACTTAACTAGTTGATTTCTATGTTGGAAAAAGAGCTAGGGGTAAGGAGACTTTATATTAATGATTATAAGTATTCATGCCTCTGGATATATTATGCATTCTATTTTATATATTTAAGAGGGGGGAGGAAGAGTAAATTGATGCAGTTTCAGTGATCTCAAGGCTGGTGGAATTGGACTGATTTTTCACCAAATCTGAATTTGTTCAGTCATTTGTTTCTCCCCTTATGCCATTGATTGATTATAAAGTGTACAGAGGTCAGTCTCCTCTTCCTCAAAAGTGTCTTCCACTGTCTAAGCATAAAAAAGTTTTACCAGAAACTGTTCAGCATGTCTTCACACGGGGCTCTTTCAAATGCTACCTCTTAAAAATGAGTTTGTCATAGGCACTGTAAAATTTTGTTAAAATGAAGTGTTGCTAAAGTGTGTACAGCTATGATCAATATATTTTTCTGTAATCAGAGATGAATAGGTGCAAGAATTTTGGAGAAAATAGTGCATTAAGTTATATAAACTATGTTTGTTTGGATCACTTAAGCATTGCATGACAGGATACTGTTTTATTTTGTTGTTGCAAGGGTATAAAAGCTTGTAATATTCTCTTAAACTCTAATATTTAGAGTTTCATACAAGCAGTCAGCTTTGATTTATGTCAATGCAATCTGCAAGAACAAACATACATGCTGCATACATAGAGATTGCCTTCATTCTTCCCCTTGAGAGAATTTCAGTTGTGCATGTTGTTTAAAAAGCAGGATTAGGGCAAATTTTAACAAATTAGCAAGTTTTCTCCTAGTAAGAGTATAGCAAGCAAATTAAAAATGCCCTGAGAGTGATTTATTGTTAGTCTATCTTTTTGCCCTTGCAGGGCAGCCGCCAGGTGTCAGCATCTCAGCTGGCAGCTGCCTCCTGCTTCTGGGTAAAGTTAGCCAGGAAGGTTAAGCCCAGTTGTTACTTTCTGCCTGCACCTTTTTAGAAGGGCATTTTGTACATAACTTCTGTAGAAGTCAACGGGGATTGAAAAGTAGTATTCTTTTGAATGGATTTATCTACGTTTCCCTCCCAAAACAAGCCATTTTTGTATCAGTCTCATAGACTTTGGCAAATATGTGACATCTTGTAGCATCAAGTGCATTTATCTAGCCAAAAGTGGTGGAATGCTTGTTATTCACACAATTGCCACTTAAAATGTATAACTATATTATAACTGCACAGAAGTAGTTGAATCTATCAGTATGTGGTGCAACTCGAGTTTCATAGTGTTAGAGCTTGTGAAACATTTGTTCATGCTGAGAGTTCCTTCAAATCAATCTGATGAACCTTTTACCTTTTAAAATAAATAGAGCATAAAAAAGGCATTGGGATTGAGGGTTTTTTTTGCCTTGTTAATCTGAGCAAGAGGGAAGGTGCTTAGCACAATAATCAGTTTCTATATATATAGTTTTACTCACTCGTAAGCCTCGTTCCTGTGAGGATCCTTCATGGGAAACATCTTCCAACCCAGGAGGAGTGGCTAAAATATCTGAAGATAGGAGTTGCCTCTTATCAGCCAGCTTCTGAGGTCTAGTGCTCTTTTTCTTTTGTTCCTCCTGGTATTCTATCCCTTTGAAACCACATATGCTTTTTACATTCCCATACATCATAGCATGGAGTAACACCTTCACACTTGAACAAGCATTAAAAATACAAACAAATTGCTTTCAAATTATGAGTTTCCTATGTATTTTAATAATTAGTTGCTATCCACAGTTCCACTTTACAGGGCACTCTAAATTGCTTTTTAAGTAAGCTGATACAGTGGTAACACCTAGGCTGATCAATTTATAATCATAAATGGTACAGATATCTTCAAGTTGTTCGGTGCATACAGTATTACTTCACAGATATGCTGTATGTATTTTTAAACTTAGTGCCAAGTTGTTTGGTTTTACATCCTAGAGGGTTTGAAACTGAGCCATAGGATTTGTACTTGCCAATTCTAAATTTAAATGTGATTTATCATGTGTGTCATGCCAAGGAGAGCAAACCTGCAGGCATCTGCTCATTCAGTGCACCTGGGAGATTTGCCTCTGAGTAAGCTGTACGTGTGTAAATTTTGTGGCAATGGAAAAAGGAATAAATGGACTGTCAACATAAAGGATTGAAGTCATGTGAGACATCTGTATGGTTTTCATCAGCTCTCTGCTTTGGAAGTCTTGCAAAGGCCAGTGGGTTTTTTGTTATCTGGTTCATTTATTACATTCTTGCATTATTATACCATCAGCCAGAAGAGAGCAAGAATGTAACTCACTAACTTTTGACTAGCTATAATAAATGTTTGGTTTGCTCATCTGTGCCATGTTTAAGCTTTTAAGAAGCTTGACATGTTTAGCTACAGTGCTGTATTCCCTACATGTAGTCACTACATGCTAGTGTCCGAACTCTGCAATTTGTGTTATTAGTTTGTACTGGCAATGAGAGGTGTAATTGCAGGGCAGGTGTTGCTCAGTCCTGGTTCTGAGCTCTGTAGGAGAAACAGCATGCTCAGAAGTATGTGCAAAGACATTCAGAGGTATGTATTCACCTGTCATTAATTCCCTTCTGAAAGTTGAAATCAATTAAGTTGCCCTCTGTCCTCACCCAGCTGCCATCCCTCTCCAGTGCTTTCACCAACCGTGGGCTGCTTTGGTGTTGCACAAATCTTGTCTTCCTGTAACAGCAAAACTGCTGATGCTGATAACTTGAACCACAACAAGCTCTTTTCCTTTCAGGTGTCAGCACCAGTGGCTTCCCTCAGCTGATGCCAACCAGCATCTGGCCCACCAAAAGGCACACCCCTTCTAAATGAGAAAAAGTGTAATGTTTTTACAACCATGAGCCAGTTTTCTGATCTTTTCATTATATACATTATGCTAGGTAGAATTAGAGGTGAGGATGACACACCTCTAAAATTAACTTTTTTGTTTTAAACTGTTGACAGAGAGATCTGCAGCTGCCTCTACAACCACATGCAGAAAATACTGTACTTCAGACAAATGGGTGCAATGTTCACCTTTTAATGAGAAGGGCTGGGGAAGCTTAGGGACATTCAAGTTTTGATTGAGCATTGGGATACTTCCTCTTGTTGGTGCATATACCTGACAAATTCCCATGTGTTTTTTCTTGTGCCTCCTTTTCCAAGCAGTGATACACTCTGTTGTTTGGCAAACCCTATAGGCTTCATGTCATGACTTAGCTTTCTGTCAAGAATGAAAAGAAGAAAGAAGTCTACGCTGTATTGCTAAAAGATTGTTTTTCCTTTAAAGCAGTGGCTTAAAACTATGAAAATTATTCATCTCCATTATTAAAGGATTGCATAAAAACATCTAAGTTTTCCTGGATCTCAATGAGTGTGTTCTAAAGGAATGATCCTGTTGCTAAAGTAAAATCCTTCATTTCAACTGTTGTAAAGGTGCAGCTCTAACAGAAGTCTGACACCCATCTGGTATCAACAATACTTTTTAAGGATATGGCTCTGAACCCTTTGATTGGTTGAACTTGGAGCATTTCTCTACTGAATGTTTTTGAACTGCAGAAACATCAGCCACTCACTCATGGGTGAAGCGCTTGGGGTGTAGTCGTCTTCTTTTAACTTAAAAAGGGTTTGTGTGGACACAGCATTGTCAGTCCTTTTGCCAGTTCATTTATTCACAGAAGACCCCAGTGCCTGTACAGCACATGAGCCCTGCCCTGGGTGCTGGAGATCGTCAGTGTGGAGCCCCTCAGGTGGAGGAGGCAGGAGCAGCCATATCTGCCAAAGGCGTTGCTTCCGTGTTCTCACGTTGCATTTCAAATACAGTTAAGCTGAAACAATGCATTGCCACCAACCCAGACAAGCCTTTTCTCTGTCCAGCCTTTTTTTCTGGATTCTCCCCATCTGAAAACAGTCATATATACACTACTGAAGGGACACAAAGCTGCATTTTTATGTAATTTACCAAACATTTTTGTCAGCTCTGCTTGTTTTGTTGGGGTTTTTTCCTGTTGTGAATACTTTTCCATCTTAATAGAGTTACTGTCTTTTGTTTCTGTTTAAGACATGTAAGTATGATGTTTTACAAATAATTTTCTCCTTTGTGGGGAGTAGGGGTAGTTATCAATGTGTCTAGCCTACGTCTGCCCAGAAAGCTCACAGGTGATGGAAGTACCACATGAAAAGGAGATCACATGTAATTAATAAATTAAATAAAAATGTCTTTGTTGCATGTTCTATTTTGTAGAGTTGAAAAATAGAACTCCTCTGAATTTTTCTCTGGGTTTTTATTATACCCTTATTTCTGAAGCCAAAGATTTTATTCCTAATTTGAGCTGTGTTATGAGCAGCCAACTGTGTGTACAACAGGGTAAAGTCCACGGGAGGCAAAAGGGCATTGCAACTGCCAGCCACATTCAGAAGGAAAAGATAAATGGAAAACTAAGAATAGCTTTGCCCATTTTCAGGAAGGAACCTTCCATCTGATGAGGCCCTTACTAGCTCACCACAGTGCCTCAGCAGGTGATTTCCCCCGTCCTCGCTTTGCAAGCTCAAATTCCCACGTGCCTCCAAGTCGTGATGCTATGCAGGAATAGAGAACAGGTGGGTGCCACAGAAGGGTGGATGGACCTGTAACAGAGAAATCAATGTCAGTGCTTCTGCCTGGTGTGTTTTTCTAAGCTGTCCTGGCCTTAGTTTTCCATCTTGAGTGTTTGCTTTCAGACATGTGGAACCTGAGATAACTAGCAGTGCAGGGGTGACTCTAAGATTACCTCTACGTTGCATAAATGCCCTGGTTGTAGGAGATGATGCTTATTCCCACAGCCAGGCAGGGGTGAGGGGCTGGCATCCTCACTGTTTGTGGCAAGCCAGCTCTAGAGCAGGCTGGCTATGGCCCCGCTGTAGGAAATTTGGCTCTGCGTATTCTCTAGTTCCTACATGATGCCCCTGGTATTCTAAGGCATAATTGCCTTTTTTTCTTTTTTTCTTTTTCAGGGCAGAGATGTTGTTTTCTAGCAGTGAAAACACTCTCAGTGTCCTTTTCTTAATACTCAGCTCTTGTGTTAACCAAGTCCCCATTTCTAAAACAAGTGTGTACTAACAGAGGCTACTTTCACCATTTGGGCACTTTATTTCCTATAATGTGGAACAGGCATAGCAGTGCTTCTCTGTGTCCCAAAACTGCATTACGTACAGTGATATTTCTTCACATGTCGGTAACTCAGACTATGATTAACTGCTTATTGCTTTGGGTGCTAGGAGGACACATGCTTTACACTGCTGGCCTTTTCCATCTAAATAGCAATCATTATTGGTCTCTGAAAAAGATCAAAGAAAAGCAAAGACCTTTTCCCAGGTATCCTTTATCAAAAGTACAGTCAAGTCAATCAAAGCTTTCTGTTTATTTACCTAATGTTATATTTACATTTGTATTTCTGTCTGTAAAGTAGTAGTAATGTTTGAGTCTTTAGGAGTTGCTTACACTCACAGGATGCCATTTAAATACATCTTTCAAAATAGTTTCCTTCCATAGTCCAAGTGTGGGCTGCATCTGAGCTCGGCTTTAGGAAAAAGTCACTCTTTGCCAGGGAGTAAGGCATGAAATTGAAGTTGGTGTTTTGGTCAATGTTTATCCAGGGGTGCAGTAAATTAGCAGAACATGCTTGTACTAGGTGGAACAGAATAAGAAAGCTGTTAACAAAATATCACCATAGAGCACAATTAGAAATGGGAGAGGTCATCTGCATTTGACTAGATTTCTTACTGCTTAATCCATCATTCTAGTGTGTACAGATTCTGAAAAAATTGCTTTTATAACAGGCTTTCCTTCTGACTGGTCCCTGAGAGGGAGGTTGACTTCAGCATATAAGAAATGGGCAGGAGAAAAAATACTAATTTACAGGTTATTGAATAAATAAGCACCCCTGTGGAGGCATCTGTTTTTCTGGGTGTAGAGTTACTTGTGCTGGGTAGGGCTAAGGATCTCCTGGCTTGCTTTATGCTGGGTTGCAGAATTGAGGCTTTTGCAGGTCTGCTCTTATAGTTTCATTAAACAAAGCCCCTGCAAAATCCCTGGGTTATGAAATATTTCCTCTCCGTCAGGTCCCAGACAAGAGATGGCATCTGCAGAGCCAGAAAAGGAAGTCCTTGCCTTATAGAGAGCGCTCTTGGTGTGACACAATGGTTGATATAAAGTGTCAGGGGAGCTGAGTCGAAGGCAAAGGAACAAAGGAAGATCAAGATTCGGTGGCTGTCTTGGGCAGAAGGAAAGTGGGAAGTGTCTCAGGGATGGATAAATTTAAGGCTGCGCTCGTGCTGGCTGGGGTAGGGGATGCTCTCGGTTATCGCAATTTCTCCAGAGAAAACAATGCCTTAGGTGCAAAAATCCAGCAGGAGCTGAAGGAAATTGGAGGGCTTGAGAACCTGGTGCTCTCTTCCGACAAGTGGCCAGTAAGTGACAACACGCTCATGCACATGGCTACAGCTGAGGCTGTCATCACAGGTAGGTACGACGGGACTAGCGAGCACAGTCTGGAGAAGAACAGAACTGTCAAGGTGCTGCATTTCTTAGAATAAGCCTGATTGCTGGGGGAGTCATGAGAAATCATGTCAGAAATGCTGCTTATGTGAATGATAATGTGCATTAGTTTGGCTCCTCCATGAGCACAATCCTGTGACCATCACACAAACTGGTAAGTCTTGATTTCTGTAGTGGAGGTGCTCTCCCTTTATTTTCTCTGAGTATATACAGTTAGTTAAAGCTTAAAGACTAAAATACCACATGTGCAGCATAACAAAAATAATTGCTAAGTGTATTTTCTGTATGCTGGAATACATCAGGGAATAATATAGCTACTAGAGATTTATCTGTAAAAGATAAGAACTCTTCTAAGTGCATTTTTAACATGTTTGTGTCCAGAACTACAGGTTGGATAGAGTTACCGTAGTACTGCTCTCAGGCTAAAAGCACTAGCGCTGTCTCCTTTCTGCTGCCCCTTAGACAAAGGATTGTACCAGCAAGGCCAGGAAAAGTATTATTTGCTTTATAAGGACAGTTCCATGTCTTTAGTCCAAAAAGTATTCTAGCATACTATGCTTATAATAAAGTCTGTCAGAATTGTGGAAGTTAGTAAGCTGTGCCTTCTAAAATCCCAATGGTTTGAGAGAGAGCATTTGTTTTTTCTTAAGGTATAGCCTTTTTAAGATATGACAGTATTTATAAGGACTCATTACCCGCCAAACTAGAACTTTCTGAAACTGTCAAGATTTTAGAAAGTACACCAGAAGACAGTGATGTCTCAGCAGCATTTTCCCTCTTCAGAATTAATATTTTTTTTTAATCTCTGTAAAAATATTTCTAATTTCTCTGAAAACTCGTAAGACTGCATAACTCCTAGTAACAGAAGCTCACAATGTTGTTAAGTATTATTCACATCAATGAAATTTCCCTGGTGCTCCTGTTTCACTGCTTTATCTGCCTGCTTCCAATGTGCTCTAAATTTAGTACGTAGAGATCAGTTGAAGAGTGTGTTGGGCCCTTCATACTTGGCTATTAGTTAACCAATGGTTTAAGGGATAGCTAATACACTAAAGATAAGGGCAAGATGTCAGCCCATCAAGAAAAAAGATGACTAGCATATTTCTGAATATAGGGTATGATTAAATACGTATCATATGTTTCTTGCTTATTGAACTCTCTAAAACCATAACTTCTGTGTAATCAAGCCATTTAGACTAACAGTAAAATAATAAATAACTTAATTAAATATAGCAGGAGGACTGTGGCTCTAAAGAAAAAAAGTTTCAGCTATAATTTCCATTGGCTGTGCTTATCCTACGCTCTCATTTCTTTGACCTGATCAAGCATTTTAAAAAGGTGTTTTCATGGTCTGGAGAGAAAACAGCAAGATGGAGTAGGGAATTCTATTCATTTCACAGTAACAGCGAACAGGAGAAAATGAGTCTTTCTCTCTGTGTCCCACAAGGAAAACAAGAACCACTCCTGCCTGCAGCAGTGTCTCCTCCTGGCAGGGGGGATACAAAAAGGCTCCTGCTCGTGTCCCAGCCTGTGTGCCAAATCAACCACGACAACAGAGCGAAGCTAAAGAAGGTGAATGTGGGTCTGTGAGGCTGAAAGCAGCTGCCACCAGCCCTGGAGACCTGCATTCCTCATGCAGTGGGGAGTCAGCCCTCACTGCTATGGAGACTGAGATTTTAAAGAATATACTGGGTGTCTGGAACATTACCAACGAAAAAAAAAAAAGGCCATAAAAATATTTCTGTCCCTCGCTGCCCTGCTCCATGCACATCCTGTTTGCCTGGCTGGCTGCCTGCTGGCCACTGCATCCCCTGGCTGCATAGCTGCAGCCAATTGCAGGATGCTTGCAGGCTGGGACCAACATGCCCAGGGTTTAGGCTCACCATGTTATCCCATTATTAGGGCACTCCCCTCAGGGGATCCCAGCCTGTGGCAGCAGCCAATCATGGGGTGGTTGCTTGTGTTAAGACAAAGGTAGTTCTCACCTGGAGAGGGGATTTTGGCCAGCACCTTGCTGACTGCAAGGAGGACATCCCAGAAGTGTCATGGCCAGAAACGGCTGGGACTGTGGATGCTGCTGCAGACTGAGCTGGTGATCCCTAAATCCACCATGTGCACAGACTGAAAGGCTGATCTAACAGTGAAGGATAAACAAAACATTCACTTCCAGCAGGAATCTGTCCCATAAGGGAGGAACAAGAACAGCATCATCAAATCCAGGGGAACTATCTCTGCAGCAAGGAAAGTCTTTTCCTCTCTGACTTAGACATGGGTTATAAAAAAATCATTAATTTCTAAAGAAAGGACCTGTCCGATTGACAGCTGAGACAGCAGCCTCCAGGTGTGGAAACCATGGTGGGCTTGAGCAGCCCAGAGGTGCTGGACTACAGGGAGAATGGCTCTGGGGACAAGGTTTCTGTAGGAACCGCCAGGCAGTAAATCGTGCTCCTGGCTCCCATCTGGATAAACTGCGACACATGACTCCTAAATCTGGAAAGAGCTGGCAGCTTGAAAGTGTCTTGTTTCTTTAGGATTGTATGTGGGACAGCCAGTGTAACTGGTAGGGTATTACTTTATGTGAAAGGAGGGGAATCTTTGTTCTTCCCTGTATCTTCTTTATTTGACTGTCTGCATAACTGGTAACTTCAGAGTGTCTCTGGCTTCTGGGATTCCAAACTTTCTCTTAACTTAAACTGCTTCTGTGGATTTCAAGAATTCACCATCTCTGACAAAATAAAGATATTTTTAGAGCTTCCCCTGCTGTATTATTCAATCTGTGCATCAAAGAGAGTATTAAATGGAGTTTCTCTAAGTACACAGATAATACAAAAGTGGATAAATCCCTTGTTCCCACTGACTACACAGCTGTAATAGATGGTAGTGGAAGGTTTTCTTCGACAAGAGCTAAAGGCAGGACTCTTCAAGCCCAACAATACACAACACCAGCCAAGAGAAGCAACTATACTGAAGAAACAGTATATGTTTAACAGTGTATGTTCCTCCCTAGGCAAAACTGTAGGGCTTGGAAAAATAATCTATTAACAGATATTATTAGTAAACTTATTACAGAGAGAAATTTATCTGCTGGAAATGCTACAGACTTTAGGGATTTACTACTTTTACTGATCTTTATAACATCTTTTATAAAAGCTCACTGTTCTTGATACTGTACTGAACTAAGATCTTGGCATCCCTGCATGAAAGACCTACAAATTTTAAACAAAATACCTTTAAAATATATATTAAAAAAAGAAGGTCACTAATTTGTTTTTGTGTTGAGTTATACATACCCCTTAAAGTAATTCTGTAATGTGGTAATTTAAAAAAAAAAAAAAAGGGGTTCATTTTTAGATTTGATTCACACCTGCAAAGGCAGGGGCCGAGCCAGGCACAGCTGGCTTCTCCCAGTCCCCATGGCAGCCATGCTCTCACCTGACAGCTGGACACCTCTGTAATGACTTCACACCACAGAGCTTAAATATGGGCCCTGAGCAGCTACTGTTGATTAACAGAATGCCTTCACATTTCCAGTTGAAGGAAGTAAAAGTAGAAAGGTACTGAGGGAAAGATGAGAACTGAGAGTTAAGATCATTCTCCCTCCAGCCCACTCCCATGGTGTGTAAGAATGTGTTGATGGTGGCACCAGAAATATGACTTGGTGTATTGGAAGTGGAAACAGAAATATTTCTTAAATGTATAGTGAGCTTACTTGCATGTTTTCCATGGTCTCTTACTCTTCTGCCTTAACACAGCAACCTTCTCTTCCCTCCCCTGAGCAGATTACTGGTGTTTAGAAGACCTGTACCGGGAGCTGGTAAAACGGTACGTGGATGCTCTTGACAAACTCTCGGGCAGGCGGCCAGACCCCGCCACCATCGAAGGCTGCAGGGAATTAAAACCAGACAACTACCTTCTCGCCTGGCACACGCCGTTCAATGAAAAGGGTACGGTACCGCTTTCCTTTTATAGGTCCTGGCTAGAATAATGCATGCTCTCAGTGTTTGTGGCTATATGGAAATTGTTTCCTTTTCCCCCCTGACATCAAAGGCCACTACCCCTGAAACGTTTCCATGTTTGCCTGAGGATGGCAAGAGATCTGCCAAGAATTCCTTCTGTAGGGCACCGTGTCCTCTCTTAAACGAACCCCTCCCTCTTTAACATCTATTTAAAGAGACTTTGTCCTTGGCTCTGTGCCTCAGGGTCCAGATCTTTGTCCTTGAGTTTAATAGTTATTTTAAGAAATATTTTCTGCCGTTTTTCATTTAAACATTTGTAGACTTGGATTTTCAGTGATACCAGATCTGAAACAAAATGCCGAGCCTGTAAATTGCTCTAAGCACCAACATGTTTACTGGAAGGAAAGCAGAGACTTTTCTCCAGTTGGATGCCCCTGCTAACAACTATCACTGTTTTGTTGATAATCCCTAAGACTCCTAACCTGGTCTACCTACCCCTGACCCTCTCTTTCTCTCTCTTTATGATAATTTACTTTTACAACGAATAAAATTTCCACTTCAAGTTAAATAACAAGTATGCACAACACATATGCATCCAGTGCAATTAATCTTGAAAGCCTGTAGAGACACCACACCAACAGAGGATGTAGACCCAGGCAGCCATGAAACAATGGCAGCTCACCAGGATGTTGTGCTGTGTTGGTGTGACACTCTGCCACTGTGGTACATAGCGGCCTCGCTCAACAGAACTGCACATTGATGCAACACCGAGGCAAAGATCCGGTGGCACAACGCCATGGCTATTTCTGTGTCTCTGCAGTCAGTTTTCTCTGACACAAAAAGCATTTCTCACTCGTCCCCCGCTCCTCACAACAGCTGCTGGGAAGCAAAATGGGTGTATTCTGCCCACCCTGCTACCGACTGGTCGGATTTGAGAAAGTGCCCCTTTGGGAGTTGTCACATGTTTTCTGATTGCCAGTGGATAAAATTTGGTCAAAATAATTGTGGGAGTTGCACCTGGCCCCAAGTAGCTCTCAACATTGCTCATAAGCAGTTGAGTATGGCTGTTCCCTGACCCATTGCTGTATTGGAGCTACATCCCTTCTTTTAGCCTTCTTCCTCCACAGCTGTCCGTGATGAATTATCTGATTTTGGGGGTACTCTGGGCTAGAAGGATCTAAAATTAATTCCTGCCTTGAGACCTGAGAGCTAAAGACCTCCTTCTCCACCTGGTCTGATAAATAAGCATCCTGCATCCTGAACATCTCAAGAAGTCTTTTTTTTCACCCTGAGAGCAAAAGAACCAGTGACTGAGTGGGAGATGTTCTGTCTACTATGGGACCTGGTGCTGTTATGGACATAATTAACTTTTAATCAAATTTTCACAAAATTCTTCTTGAGGCAAAACCATGCCACAGGCATTGAATGCCCAGCAGTCAGATTATATTTTGGATGAGCTGGAACCAAAAGGCTAATTTGCTGTGGTCATTCTATCTTATCTTGCTTCTAGCAATAATTTATGTGCCAGCCTTCATGGACCAGTGAAATCTTAGCTTAGGTAATTTTGCATTGCTTATATGATGCTTCTCTGCTCAAATTCTTGCAGAAGTTGTCAGCAAACTGAATTCCTAAGTCAAACTGCCCGGTGTGTCTCTTTGCCACCTCATGTCACGCTCATTGCCACATTGGTTGCAGAGGTACCTGGGTTATGTTAGAGGCTGCTGAGATTCCTGTGACCACCTGAAGACCTGCCCAAGACTGTCTAATACCTTCCATTTTATGAGCTTGTTTATAATTTACAACAAATAGCCGGTCAAATAGCTTGAACCTGAAGCCTAACAGATTCACCTGTATCGTGAATTTCAGGCTGAGGCCTTTGTTTGTAGCTGCTGGGCTTCCAAGAAGCACTTGGGAACAGTGCCCTTTTGCTGTTGGCACAGGCAGAGGAGCATGAGGGAAAAGTGTGAGTTAAATGCAGAAAGTTGAGGGGGAGAAAATGAAGAGAAAAAGCTGCAGATGCACAGGAGATAAAGGTACCAGGTTCTAAGTTCTCATGCAGAATGGTCTGTAGTCACAAAAAACACATTGTCTTCAGGGCTTAGCAGCCATTACCCTAATCTTTGTTATTCTACAGATGTAGAGTGAAGAAAAGCACAGTGAAGTATTACATACTAAAAGAGAATAATATAGTGCATCAATGAAAATGAATTAATAAGAGGTGTCAGCACATCTTTTGTGACCTCTATTGTTCAACATGTCCACAAACTGTCTGGAAATGCAAGTGCATAGCAGGTCAACAAAGTCAAAGACAACACGATGCAGAGTTGTAAAAGATGCTCAGTGATGCACAACTGTGTGGCACAGCAGCAGAACCAAATACAATGCAGATAAGTGAGAAGTCATACATGGGAGAGTGGGAAATCCTAATTTAATATACATAGATGCAGGTTTTATTCAGATACCACTCAGGGAAGGGATCATGGAGCTATAATAGTTCTACAAGAACATCATTTCAGTGCTGCGTAAGAGCCAGAAAACAATTAGACTATTAGAAATGACCATGAAAGGAACAGACAACAAAACACAAAATATGTTTGCACCACTGTATAAATCCATATCCACTGTTTCTTGATTATTGTATATGATCTGACCCCTCCCTTCTGCCACAAGGATGAAAGACAACTAGAAAGGATATGAGGAAAGATGGTTGGATTGGTAAAAAAACTGCTTCCAAGGGCTGTGATGTCTGAGACATTATGGTAGAGAGCTGTAAAGTCATAAATAACTGGAAACATGAACAGGAAAAACAAAAACCTCACTGTCTCCTCCAGGACAGCATCTAGGGACTTCAAGTGAAACTAGGAAGCCATGAGCTCGAAGCAAGCCAAAGGAAGGACTTCTTCACACAACACCTAATTAGGCTGCATAACTATTTTCCAATGCCAATTTGCAGATGCTACAGTTCACATGAGTTCAAAAAAGAGCTGTTCAACCAAGGGAAATCCTTCAAGGGTTATTAAGCAGAAAGATGAATAGCCAGCTGCCTGGATCAGGGAGACAAATTGTCAGCAGCTTAGTTAGTACAAGGGGTAATAGTACTTTTCTTTTACTCTTTCTTGAGTATCCTCTTCATCGGCCACTGTCAGACATGGTAAGTTGGGTTGACCTTTAGTCTGATCATGGAGGACAGTCCTTATGTTCTTACACGTGTCTCTCCTGTTGCTTGGACTAGTCTCAGTGTCCCTTTGATTCAAATGGTAGATGCTGAGACACGGGAGCTGAGAGCTGCTAATCACCTGAAGCCCTGTCCGGCTTTACTGTTACTTCATGTGACCGAATTTTTTGTTACTGAGTTTGCTTGTCTAATTCTGCAGAAGGTTTTAATGTAACTTCGTAGACTAGAGAAACACAATGAAGTTGCAAAGACAAGCTACTTCAGACCAGCAGGCAGATCCACTTTGTAGTACATCCTCCACTTTGGATACACAGAGAGATGTTATTTAATTAGCAGCTTTGTGTAGCACAACCCCCTTTCTTGAATAAACATAATGGATTCTGTCATTTGTAGGATTTGGGTTTGCATAGTGAAGAAGACTCTCATTTGCTGCTGTATGGCAGTGGATGATTTAATTAAGGGTTTGGTCTTGCAGTCAGGAGAAGATATTTTCTCCCAGTTAAGACAACTGGTACCCTGGAAGACTGGATTTCTTTCTGGACTTTTCCTTGAGGTTCTGTGTGATCTATGGGATAGACAGACAGTTTTATCTGCTCCTGGCTCCTTAATAACCAGATACTACAGCTGCAGCATATGTGAGAAGCAACAAACACACCATTTGCAGGACAAGTATCCAGCTTTTTCACCAGGAGCAGTGGCCAAAGGTGTTCTGGAGAGGGTCCCAGAAAGGCTTGAAAGGGTAGCAGGGATAAGGAATCAGGCTCTGAGCCTGCAGAGAATAAGATGGTATTCTGAAAAGCCTTTCATGTCACCTTTATCAGATGTTTGGCCTTTTTTTGAAGAGTTACTGCAGACAGAATTTGCACATTAGACTCTGAGGAGGAAGAGCTTTCTTCAGCTAACCTAAATAGATCACCTAGCCAGGGTGCTCACTCAAGAGAGCTGCTCTGAGGGGAGAAGAGCTCTTTTCTTAAGAGGGAAATTCAGATATTGCACCTGGAAATGCCAGTGGGTGGCTTATGTTAGCTTGGCTCAGGCTTCAGTTTGACTTGAAGTAGATCTTCCTGCCACCTCCACTACGACACTTGGATCACACTCACAATCTTAGGGCACTGGAACTGAAGACACTTGGGATAAAAGTAAATGGCAAGCAGTGTTCCAAGAGAGGCCCTGATGCTTTGCACCCGCAGCAGGCACAGCCCATGGGAGCAGCTGAGGGCTCTTCTCCAGAAAAGAGACTGAAAGCCCTGACCCTGGTTCCTTGGCACCTGCTGCTTCAATTCACTCTGGCATTGTACACACCAATGGACATACAGTCTTTCTCCATGCTGCCTATCTGGGAAACATAGGGAGACTGTGCTCCTAATGCAGGTTCCACATAGGCTAAAATTAGGTGGCATAAATATTCCCCTTATCTTCCAGGGACCAAGTGGAGAAATGCTGGTTGCTCTCAGCTATTCCCAAGGTCACTGGGAAGTGTGACTGAGCAAAGACAGTGCTGAAAAATGCCAAGTACTTTGAAAAGTTGAAGCCTAACCATCTCAGAATGGGTGCCTGCAATGAGTTAATGCTTTTTTGGGCATTGGCTCACCAGCTGCAAAGACGAGATAATCACCTCACTGGTGCCTTGTGAAGATAAGCTCATTAAAACTTCTGTGGGATCCTGATATTACTGTGATAAGTACTGCAGAGAAACTCATTAGTAAATATAACTCTCCGTTCAATTAAGCATTTAAAAGGTGAACACCTGGGATCATGCACTCAGTGCTGAGAATTAAAAGAAATTCTGAATTAGTTATTCGATAAATAAATTCTGTGCTGCACGAGGCAGACATTCCCAAAACTAAACTCAGTAAGTGCAGGCTGTAGTATAGCGAGTGTGCACACAAGCACTAATTTCAGGTCACATGGGAAACTTCAGTTCTAACACTGTCTAACTTTGTAGGATTTGGCTCTGTAGTCTTTAGTTTCTTTTTGGACACATTATTTTTGTACGTAGCAGAAACTGGTGAGGCTCTCTAGGAGGAAATATGCATGAAAATTATAATATGAACTGTGATGCTCCTATAAAGTGTTTTAATCATGTGCTTACAGCTACTAAAATAAGGGTGTAGGAAAAACGTATCTGTTTCTCAAACTTCTGTTTCTAGTGCTGAAACCTGGAGCAAGCAAAACAGCAGTGTCAGTGAAGAATGGGTAGAGATGAGATGAGGGTTTGAATCAAACAAGTGCTGTGACCAAGAGAGCACACTGCTTTCTGAACCCACTATGCTCTTTGTAGCACTTGAGAATATTGGAATTTACCTGTAAAACCTGAATGACTGTGTAGGAGCAAAATTCCTCACAAGAAAATTTCAAAACTTGTAACTCATTTTGCATGGCAATTTCCCGTTCCCTGAGTTCCTTTTACACATATGAGTTGAATTAATAAAGTGTGCTTGTTTCACATTTTATCAACATATTGTGTAACATCTGCCTCTTTTAAGTGCTTGGCATTATTTTTTTACTTTAGGTTCTGGATTTGGAGCATCCACAAAAGCCATGTGTTTAGGAATGCGATACTGGAAGCCGGAAAGGCTGGAATCCCTTATTGAAGTGAGCATTGAATGTGGACGAATGACTCATAACCATCCCACAGGTATTATCTAATGACCTGTCAGCACCCTGACATCCCTGAGGTGGCTTTTCAATTCTGCAGGGACTAATGTGGCTCCTGTGAATTCACCTGGTTAAACTGTTTCTGCTTTGCAAACTGCAATGCCTCAGTTTGAATTTTGCTTGCATAATATAAGATGTACGTATTACTTATATAGGCTTATATATTTGCTTGTATATTATGCAGAGAGCATTCGCAGGCATAGTTGTTTTCTCTCCTGAAATCCAAGTAACTAAACACAACCTGCCTTGCCCAAAGCATATTCATGTTACTTGCCCTGATTGAATTTTAGGATTCATGTATATCTAGATGGCTCACTGTTATCGTGCAAGTTTATGGTTCAGGGGATAATAACATTTTTCTCTTGGCAGGTTTTGTCATATCCAATCACTGTAGGTAAATGTAGGAAGCCAAAAAAAATCTAACTCCACGTATTTTAAGATACAATCTGAAACATTTTCTCAACAAAACATAAATAAGTAGATTTAATGTTGTTTTGAATATTCAGGTCTGTCATTTTGATAATTTTATGCTATGTAAGCATGTATTCATTTTGTCTGTTTTAGAGAGCAATAAATAAAACCATAATGAATAGTGACATGTTCAACACGCTCCGTGCTATGAAGCAGTCAGAAAAGCCATCAGGATGGCATAAAATTAAAGGAAAAAGATTCAAAACAAATGAGAAAATATCATTTGGCTGGTGTGTAAAGTCCACGGTGTATTAGCAGCAGTAAGGCTGCTTGCAGTCTGGGTCTCTCACCTCAGAAAGGGCTTATAAGACCCAGAAAAAGGCAGCATAGAGGATTCAAGTGATCAGGAACCTTCCATACAAGGAGAAATTATATCCAGAAGGACTCTTCAGCTGGGAAAAGTGGGGAGGCAGGGAGGAGAGCAGTGGAAGGGCCACCATGTACCTCACTACCACCCTGAAAGGTGCCAATGAAATGTCAGTTGTGATCATCATAACTCAAAGACTGAGAAAACCCAACTGACGTGTCAGTCAGGACTGAAACAAGCAAACAAAGGAAAGACTTCCCCATGTTGTGCATAGTCAGCACTCGGACCTCAGTGCTACAGGCAGCTGCAAGGTCTACAGACATGCCTGGGTTCAAAGGGGGCCAGGCCAAGTGGAGGAGAAGAGCTGCCACTGTCAAAAGCAATCAAGCTGTATAATTAAAATTGTCCCTAAGCTAGCCTAGGAGCTCTGGGGAATGGAGAAGCCAAACCAATTTAGGCTCACTCTGTACTGCCATTACTTGCAGAGCCAGAAACCTTGGCCAGGGCTTACTTTCTTCCCCAGTGAGGGACAGCAGGCTATGTGAGGGCTGACATGACTAGGATGAGCAAGGCAGCAGCAGCAGGGGGACAGGCAGCCTTGGGAGTGGGCAGGAGGAGACTGCCAGCCCCCTGAAAACCTTCAGGACACACTCCAGTCTCTACCACCCTCTGCACTGACTTATTCCACTGCCCCCTGCTAGTCCTTTGATTCACCCTCTAAACCCTCTGCTGCCACCCTAATGGCGAATATGGCACTCAAGGGTCTTTGTGGCATCTGAGCTAGATGATGTCTTTCCAAGACCCTTTGAGCTGGCTCTACCTGGGCTTTTAATCTTTATGAAAGCACCTATTGGATTCTATTTAGATGTGTCTTGAGCCTGACCTAGTATTGCAGGTCTTCTGGCAGAGAGAATTGGTAATAATCTCATCTGGACTTGTAACCTCCTAAAAGAATGTGTTTTTACCTTCAGTGAAACACACAAAGTTCATGCTTACCTCTATGCATGAGTGAATGCTTTTGGACCCATACCCCTGGAGAAGCACACACATCAACACTTTGCTCACCTGGGATTTATTTAAATGACTGAGTTGTTTTCTTGAACTTCTTTGGCATGCTGCACTGGGTTGGTTTTGTTGCCTTTAACAGAATGTCAAGAGTACAAGCAAATATGAGAAATGAGCCCCTCTGTTTCTGATGTCATGGAAGTGTTGCATGCCCATCAACAGTTACAACTGTTGTAATATTTACAATATTACAATATTTGTAACCAAAGTAGAAGACTTAACTAAGGAGGCAGACAGTATGTCTTTTTTGGACAATTGCTTCTTTTCTCTAAGGGGACATGGGCTTGTCCCCTTAGAGTAAAATGAGCCAGAAATAGTGTTAGATCTAATAACCACTGCTCTTAGGCTGGATCTTTCTGTAAGCAAGATGATATAGCTTGTAATTGTATCACTTTGTGCAAGTCAATTATTTCATGTGACTTCAATTAGATTTTCAGCATCACATTGGTAGGAGATGTTTATTTTTGACCCCTACCTCAATTTGTCACGTTACACCACAGAGAACACAAGCTCCCTTCTGTATAAGATAAGTCATAAACCAGCAGTCACCACTGATCTCGACGTGCCACGGGTCAGACTGCAAACAGGCGGAGATCAGTTATGTACATTCACCAGTCTACCTGACAACCATGAGGCATTCCACTGATGATTTTATGAGGAACAAGGTAAGGATGGTACCAGCCCAGACTGCACATTAGTAATCCTTGTTATTTGTGAATTCCAGGTTTTCTAGGGTCCCTATGCACAGCTCTCTTTGTGGCATACGCAATACAAGGGAAACCGCTTGTGCAGTGGGGAAGAGAGATGATGAAGGTTGTGCCGATGGCTGAAGAATACTGCAAGAAGACCATTCGTCACATGGCAGGTAAGGAGTCTGAATCAAAAAAGATTATTTTCTCAAAACTGTGTTTAGCTAGGAAGGCACTGAAGAAACATCACTCCCTAGTCTTTCCATCTTGCTGCTTTCCCCTTCTGCTCTCTCCCCAGGTTGTCCTGCTTTCTCTGCTCACAGAAGTAAGCCCTTCATAGGTGGTGCCACCTTCTTCTGCCTGGTATATTGGTGGCAAAAATACAAAGAGAAATAGCAATGACAATGCCCTACTGCCCAGTTTTGTTTTCAGGAAGTCTTCTGAAATTGCTGGGTGGGGGGAGGAAGGTGATTATATTCAGCAGGTAATGAGGCAAACTGACTGCTGACATATGAATTATTCATATCCCTTCTATCAATGAGTTCAGTCCAATATTTTCCATAAGAAAAACCACTGACTCTCCTCATCTTGCCAGAAAAATTTCACCTACAGATGCCTCCTGACCAAGAGTTAGCGTTTGACCTCAAATTCAGATTTTACTTGTTTCTTTTCTGACAAATATTTAAGACACAGCCTGTTGTATCCTTGTTTTAAAACAGCTGAGTGTCACATAACTACTGAATTTGATATTACTACTTTATTTTTGCTACTAATGCATGTGGACTCTGGGGCTAAGGTATTTGAGTCCACTCTTACCCCAGAGTGATGTGTTTGAAACAGTGAGACTTGCCATGAACAGACGAGTATCATTACATTGAAACACTGAAGAAAGATATTAAGGGACAGCTGTTGAGAAAGATTGAATTCAATAGAAATCTTTACTCAAGATCACTCAGAAAGTAAAATTTACCCATGAAGGAAAGCTGTTGCTTTATAGTCTGAAAGGAGCACCAGGAAGCCTTCCTGAAACACCCTGCATTTTCATCTGTGCCTCATTGCACACCAGGATTTTTTTAGCAGAGACCTATGAGGAGCAGGTGCAGGATTAATGTGAGTGAGTGTCTCTCTGAGTGGCTTTGCAGCAGGCCCCTGTCACTCCACCCAAGCAGGACCCCTTGGCGTGGAGGTATGCGTGTTGGACTCCTGAGGCTAGTGCCTGTATTGTTGAGCTTCGTCCTATTTTGGTATCAGGAGAAGTGTCCTGCATTAATGTTAAGCTCCTTGGCTGGTGAGATGTGCTGCAAAGAAATCCTGCCAAACACAGTCCTCCAGTTTTAGAAAATGCTATTTTAGCTGTATTACCCCCAAGGATAACAAACACTGTGTTTGTTACCCATGTCACAGAGAGTTCGACTCAACACCCCTCTCTGATATCCAATTGCGATTACTTGCCAGATAGTTCCATGGACCTGAGTGTGACCGTCATGTTGTCTTGGCTCAAGGGATGGTGCAAAGCCTTGCTAGGGTTAATGGCATGGGATTTCTGACCATGCTACAGGTCCACACAGCCAAAATCTCCTGCAACTGCTCAATACCTCTGTTTCTGAGCCTGTGGGACAATCACACTTCCTTGCTTATTAAACATAGAAAACATTCACTTTTGAGGCATTTATGGTTGTGGGGGAAATGGTGGGGCAGGGGGGGAAGGAAAAGGGAAAAAAACCTGTCAGGTCACCCGCATTTCTAAAACCAGCTCTAATGAGCTGCTAGAGTGGGTGTCGATAGTTTACTTCAACTAACAACATTTGCTTTGTTTTCGTCTAGATGCTCTCCTTGGCCTGATGGCTCTGAGTGCACTTTTGCTCTGTTTTTCTAAACACCTCCCCTTTCTTAGAGCTGGTGAATGATTTCCTTGTCATCAGGCCAGACTGGGTCATGTACTCAGAAAAAGGGCAGCTGGGCATTCCCAGGAGTATCAAGCACATGGCTGAAGGCTCATCACTGTCTGGGGCTGGGGCACTGGCAACCTTCTGAAAGTATCAGGTCTACAGAGCTGCTTAGATTTTTTTTTATAAAAAACCCTACTTTAAATGTCATAATTACCAAAGAGGGTCACCTGTATGGCATTTTAGGAAAAGAAGCAAAATCAGATGACATCCTTCAGAGGAATGGTTTGGTTGTGTGTATGTTCCTCAGCCACTTGCAGCACACCACTGAGTGGCCAAGCAGGAGAGAGGGAAAAAGCGGGAATGCTTGATTTTATTTTACATCAATAGTCTCATACCGAATTGCTAGTTTGCCTTTTCATACTTAGCATTCCAGTCCATCTCATGTTTTCTAACTCCTTACTCTCATCAGTTTGCCAAGCAGAGTTTCCTACAAGCCTCAGTTTTGAAGGCAGGTGCATGTTATGTGCTTGACAGCTCAGTGTGACTGAATTAGGAGCCTTTTTAAGCCTTTATAAAAAGGGTGAACCAGAGCACTGGCTTGCAAATAAACTAAATTTAATAAGATTATTTATACACGGAATGTTAAGCATGATTAGAGATCACTTCCTAAAGTGACAGAAAAAACGGAGAAAGACATTATTAAAAAAGGCTTATTCCTGTGAGCACAGATAGCAGATGTGTGTGTTATTTATTTGTTTACTACATTTGATATGCATTATAATATATGCAAATGGAAAATCTGGCCTTTCCTTACTGCCTTTTCGTGAAAGATCACACAAGAAATATTGTGAAAATAGAACAGGAATACTGGAGAATTTATTTTATTTATTAAAAACTGATAACTGAGGTAGGTGGCAATTTGTATTTAGGGCATGGAAGCATTTTTAGATATTCTTTAATCATAATAAAGGAACAAAAACCTTTGCACAGAGTTGATTTTTTTCTCTCTTATCTTTTCCTTGGAGTGCTCTTCAGTAAATTCTCTTAAAATTTCATCTTGATATATCTTAATGTAATTTTAATATACCATTAAAATAACAAAAAATTCTGAAAGTATTTTCTTAATTCACATCCTCTGTTTCCAAGTAGATGTCCCACTCCATGTTAAAATGAATACTTAGTACATATGCAGAACTCTATTGTAAAATACTTGGGTTTTCATGTCAGTCAATACTTTATTAATGTAGAACTGAAAATGTTATAGAGATATACTGCATCATTAAATTTCTTTTGCCTTCAGAATATCAGGAGCACTGGTTTTACTTCGAAGCCAAGTGGCAGTTTTATTTGGAGGAGAGACAAATCAATGAGGAAAATCAGAATCAACCTGTCTTTCCAGACAACTATGACGCAGAGGAGAGAGAAAAGGTAATTGCAACTTCCAAAAGCTCTTGGGAAGACTCTGAGGTGTTTTAACAGAGACACACCCTATTTTTCAACTGATTCCAGTGCCAGAGTAGTCAGAAAGCTTTTATTTTTTTCCTGAAATTTCAAGAAAGAAAAACAACTCCTATCTTAACGTAATAAATAAATCATTTTTAAAAAGCAGTTGCCACCAGTCTTGAGGTTGCTGCAAACAGAGAGGCAAAGTCAATGATCTGGTGCCCAGAGCATGTACAAAACATAAGCTATGGCTATCTGAGGGTGGAAAAAGTAAATGTCTTGCCTGGGGCTCTCATTAAAGCCTTATGGAACTGTGCCCAAAGCCCCACAGAAATCCCCCCAGGTATGAGAAGCTGCATTTGGTTATGTCTAGTGGAGAGTGTCGCTGCCCATGGCAGGGGGAATGGAACTCAGTGGTCTTTAAGGCCCCTTCCAATCCAAAGCATTCTATCATTTTGTGGTGCTCTGAGCAGAAGACAGACGTCCTAAGTGATTCTCTGCCAACACAGGCTGTGCCCAAGCGAGTTTTAAGTGTCTTGAGAGATGGTGTTTCCCCATACCCATGAGATACTATTTTATAGTGTACATGATCTTTCCTTTGCCTCATGACTTCTGCTTATACCTTCTTAACTCGAGAGAAATAATGTGTCTTCTTCCCTGGTGTTTACAGCTATCTGATACGTGCTGGCACCTCCCAAAGCTCTCCACTTAGCAGCTAAGCAATAAGTATGTGGTTCTTGTCACCTTTTCCCATAAATCAATCCTTTTTTTCCAGACTATTAAAGCATAATTCTATTCTGAGAAGTCGCTTTGTGTATTTTTAGATCATTATCTATGAAGCAAAATGTGCCAATGGAAGTCAGATTGACTGTGGATAATAAGAAATTGCTCACTCTAAACATAAAGAATTGGATCTCTTCCAGGTTTATTTTACTAATTCAGTGCCATGAATTTGCTACTATTTTTTTTTATTCTTTCCAATACTACTGGAGTCTTAGCAGAGCTTTAGGAGAGATTAAACCAATCATTATTTCACCATTATCATTTCAAGAAAGAACCGCATGAATTCCTAACACAGAAGCAAAATTTACCATCATTTCCCTAGCCCAACTATTTTGGCCTATTGAGCTATTTATTTTGATGAACAAACAAGAAAGGAAAAACGTTGCTTGACCCTCAGACTCCACCGCCAGCTGGAGATCATAGCCTGGCAGAAGTCGAGACACTTCATTTGCGTGTTAATAACTATGGAAGGAATAAATGAGAAGGTAATGCTTCTGCCAGCCTTTTTCCCAGGAGGGGTCTCCAGACAAACTCTCCCCTTGAGTCTGGGAGTATAGCCCCTTGCCTTTACACATTTAATTAATAAAGCACTGACATGTGGCACCACTCTTGCCCACAGGTCACCATATGCATGTTCCTGCTTGGCCAGGTGCACCTTTCTGCAGGCACAATGTCGGAAGTATGCAAAAGTGAAGCCCTCAAACGTAGCTTGGATTGATCTGAGCATGTTGCAAAGACAATGTCCCTTCCTAAAAGAAATCACACCCCAAAATACTCAGCAGAAAAGACCATATTCTGTATAAGCTGGTATACAGCTTAAATTTGGAGATAACAAGAGAAATGAGGATGAAAGATAAATTACTCCTTCTTGAATGTATAAATACAAGATAGGCCAATGTAGAATAAATCATTTTTCAGTGGCTTGCATTTGGAAGATGTTAGGTACTCACTGAATAGGCAGACATTGCTCCACACTTGGGATAAGCTTTGCTTCTGCAAACAAAACACTCTCCTGGTTTGCTTCCTGTCCTGGACTCAATGTGAGCAAAATGAGGGAGGAACAAAACAAAGTCATCCATGCTAATTAGACTCTGAGGACCCTGTTCTCTTAAGGTGGAGCTGATTAAACCAACACTGCGAGAGGACTTAGAGAAGAAGAAAAGGAATAGAAAGGGAGTGCTAGCCAGCAGCAGGTCAGATCCTGAAGGGTGAGAAAGTCAGAGGCAGCTGTAATTACTGGCGGCAGGGGTTGACAGCAAGGAGGAGATGTGTGAATTACCTCCCGGGCTTGGCAGCAGCTCAGTGCCTTCAGCATGAGAGAGTGCATATTGACACCCCATCCAAGTACGAAGTCCTTGCCGGCCCACCCGAGGGAAACTGGGCTGGTGCACAGCACAGGGCAGTACAAAGGTGCTGCAGTTGAAAGGAGAAGGAAAATGTTTGAGAAGTGCTGCCTTGGTGCAGTTAAGTCCCCCCAGGTGAAGTAAGGAGGACAATTATCCCTAGTGTAGAGTCGTTTCAGCAAGACGACATCAGATGTGTGCAGAACATCAGCGACCTGCAGGACTAAATGGAGCGACACTTGAGCTGCCTGGCTGGGCACCCAGAATAGCACCTCCACTCTGAGCCCCCTTGCTTTTGGTAGTATTGCACTGGAGTCAGTGCTGCTCCACCAGTGTCCAAACTGCATCAACAAGGCTGGAAATTTGTGTGTGGGTGAGAACAGCATGAAGGCATAAATACTCTCTGAATTGTAAAAGAAAAAGAAAGCAGCAGAGTGAAGCTGTAGTCCAGCTCTGCCATATTAGAGTGTGTGCAGATAAACCACAACCAAGTATGAAATGGCTGAGGTGAAAGTGAATAGAGAGAAATGCAAACCCTTCACACCTGTTGCAGAAGCCAAGAGCCAGCCAAGCAGCAACAATTGCACTTCACATAATATAACTTAAATTTCTGGAGAAAAAGCTGGCCGTTTCTTAATAGGAAGGTGTTCTTTAATCATAAATTTGTCAGTGTTGAGTTAATTTGGGGATTTGGGGCAGGAAAAATAGAGTTTTGGAGGTACCTCCTCCAGAGACAATCCAATTTTCCTTTGCAAACCTCACTGTGGGTTTGGAGTTCTTTTTCTTCTTTCTTCTTCTGGAGAAGAAATATTTCTTACATTTGCAAATTATTTTCCCTTTTGTTCAACAAATGCTTGTAGAAGAGGAGAAAAAAGGCTTGCAAGAAAAAGACAAAGAAGGGGGCTTGAATGAACATAGTCTGAAATTAAGCCCCTAAAAAATTACTGAATCAGAACTTTTTCACCTCACATGAAAACTTAGCTAATGAAAAGATTTGTAAACGTGCAATAAGAGAAGATGAGAATATTTCCCAGAAGCAGGAAAAGGACTGACAAAGTAAGTCCTTACCAACCTTAATTTTTTAAATGATAAGGAATTTCTAGGATGGGAACCTGAAATCTGTCTTGATCTGCTTTTCGGCATTCTTGGCTTGCTTAAATCAAACCTGCTTCTCTGCCCGCCAAGAACTCTGTGCATTAAGCTGGAGTGCAGGTTTATACCTTCATCTCAGGCATCACCAAGGCTGCGGCTGCCGCTGTACCAGCCCATCCCATGCCACAGGCGGCGGTGCCGGCAGCACAGCTGCCTATGCCCTTTCCCTGCCCCATGGGCTATTCCCACTAAGCAGGGGAGACAGCACCCTGGTGTGGCCAAGCGCCCTGTGCCCCCGTTTCCAGTGCCCTACCCTGACAGTGCTGTCTCTCCCACAGACGTACAGGCGGTGGAGCTCGGAGGGCCGAGGGGGAAGGCGAGGCCACGACGCCCCCATGATCGCGTACGATGCCCTGCTGGGCTGCGGCGGGGACTGGACAGAGCTCTGCAACCGCTCCATGTTCCACGGAGGTGAGGGTCCCCTGTGTCTCCCACTCCCTGCTCCCTCACCAGGGGTGGGATAAAGCACTCCTGGCTGTCAGCTGCCTCCGCTGGCCAATCTGCCTTGTTGTCTGTTACATCCTCACCTCTGGTTTTATCCTCTAAACCCCATCTCTGTGGAGGCAGTTGCCACACAAGCTGTTTATGGCACTTTTCAAATGTTGCTCCATCTGCATCTCATGAGTAGTAAATCCAGTGTGGCTTACTAAAGGACTGACATCTTCTCCTGCCAAAACACAAGCACCTTTGGCAAAGCAATCTTTTAGCTGCATCTAGTAAAACCAAGAAAGGGAGAAAAATAACACAGCAGCCAAGCAAGTGCCAGGCAGGCAAAATCGAGCACTTCTTAGAGGCACACAGGGCAGTACCTTTACAGCTTTACGAGAGATAACTTTCTTGTGCAAGAGATAACTTTCTCACTGTCAGATGCATTTTGTGGGCTTTCAGGAGGGCCAGCATAGCTGGGGGGGGTAGGACCCCAGCCCCCAAACACCTGTTTCCTCCCTGCCTGGTGTGGACCCTTTGCAGGGGCTCTGGGTTGCTCCCCTGCCCCGATGGAGTGTGGGAGCTCACAGTGCCTCACTGCAGAGCATGGCATGCACGGAGCATCAGTGCTACTCACCAAGGCTGGATGTTTTAAAGCATATGCAGCACCATGCTGTGTTGTGAGGAGGGAAGGGACACCCTCCAGTCCAGGACCTTTGTTGTATAGCAGAAACCCCTGCAGCTACTGTTCCCTCCTTTTTTCCTGCCAATGTTTAGCTGCTTGTGACAGCTGCTGTGTTGTGGTAGATTTTCCAGAAAACAAGACAGCTCCTAGCCCAGGAGTGCACACCATAATGGCATCTCCACAAGCTTGCCTTGGCATCACTCTCTTCCCTAGGCATCCTCACCTGTACTGCCAGAGGCAGGACACGTGGTGCTGCCAGCTTTTTGGACTGACCAAACATGTCCCTCCCCCTCCACCCCCCCTACTCCATCACGTGGAGTATTTCCTTCTCTGTGCACCACAGTATTTTAGTTGTATATGTGAAGGTGACACCAAGAGACCCTTGCAATTGTGCTTAAACCTGCAGGAGAGAGCGCGGCTACTGGGTCCATCGCTGGCTGCCTGTATGGCCTGGTTTATGGCCTGAGCAAGGTCCCCAAAGGCTTGTACCAGGACATGGAACAAAGGGAGAGGCTGGAGTACTTGGGCGAGAATCTTTACCGACTATCCATGGAGGAAAAGTAAAGCGGCTTCTGCCATTTTCTCTTTCTATAAAGACTTTCTATATCAAACCCTGTAGGTAACTGACTGACATTCATAGTGAAGTAATTAGCCAAGAGTTAGTCTGAAGGGCTCTGTGCACATCACGTGTAAGTGAAAATACCTGAATTATTAGACTGATTAGAATTATTAGACTGATTGGATATGTATGGTATTTGTGGGTTTTTTACAGATGTAGGGATTTCTGAATATAAGGAGTGCTGCTTAACCTCAAATGGCAAAAAGTAAATAAAACGTCTTTTGACTGATTTCAGTCTAACTTGCTATAATACCACTTCCTAAAGAGCTGTGACAAGTAATTACACATACAAAATTAATTTTCAGAACTAATGCTTTCCTGCAAAACTAATGGTATTATACACTTATGGGGATATTCTCTGTATATTTGACAATCCTTTCACCACTGTTGTCCCTCCTTGTTCTCAAATCTAATGTGTCTGTGACACTTGTAAACTTAATGTCTCATGGATTAGCTTTTAATGAATCACTGATCCCTGTATCAGCACTGTGGTGCAAGGTATTGTTACATTAGAAGCTTCCAGAAAAGGAAAAGCCAACACTAAAAATACCTCCAAGGAACAGCAAAGCATTGGTGTGTTTAAAATTTCTGATCAGTGTGTCTAAAATTGCTGAATTAGACTTTTATTCTTTTATTCTTCTTCAAAACATAAGTTTTTCTAAAATATAACTGGCTGAAATATTTGTAAATAAATTAATCTTGCACTATTTTCTAAGTATCAGTCTTTATTTTTAGATTGAACAGATTATATGTTGCTGTATCAGTATCAGAATTTTTGGCTGAGGTCTTCAAGCAGTTGTAATAGGTCAACAGTCAGGCTGTGATACATTTCACAAGTCTGAGCACCACAAAAAACCCAGGAAGAAATGTTACAACTGCTTTACCTTTTTCTTCTTTCCTTCTTCCTTTTTTTTCCCTTTTCCCTTTATTACCTTTTCTCCTTTTTCCCCTTTCCTTGCCTTTCCTTATTTCCCCTCCCTTCACCAACTTCTTTTTCAACTTTTCTTTTTCCTTTTTTCTTTCTTCTTTTTTTCTTTCTTCTTTTTTTTCTTCTTTTTTCTTTTATCTTTTGTCTTTTTATTATTCATTGTTTTTTCTTTTTCATTGTATTTTCTTTCCCTTTCCCTTTCCCTTTTGTCTTTTTTATTTCTTTTTCCCCTTCTGCTTTTTTTTTTCCTTTTTCGTCTTTTCCTTTTTTCTTTTTCTTTCATTTTTTCATTTTTTAAGAAAACCAACAAACTATGATTGGGTTAAAATTCACATACCACAGAAAAAGTAAACAGTAGACCTTGATGCCCGCACAGCAGCATGGGAACAAATCTGGAATCCTCAGTGAAATGACACAGAAGAAGTGTGCTCAGAATTTGTTCCTGGTGTTTAACCTCACGTTTTACCTCAGAAGTTCAGAAACTGAGGTCTGCGTGGCACTTTCTGATGTCCACCGTGTGTGATTGCCTCCGTGGTGTTGGTTTCTCCTATCTTTCTCCAGCTGCTGAACTGCATTTTAAAAAGATAGCTAAAAATACACAAGCACTTTCCTACGCCTTTTTCCAAGTAAGCCATTGCGGAATCAACACTGGGATGTGGCAGAAGCAGGAGCAGGTGATCCCTGTGCATGACAATATCCATATGAAAAGGTTTTCTGTACTATGAGCTACTTCTCACGCTGTTGTTTTAGCATGTTTTCTCTTGGCAGCTTCGCAAGATGCTTTCTTGTTTGCTTTGGAGATATGCTAAACCAAAAGGAGCAACTGTGTCAGTAGCTTTTGATTTAAGAGAATACCAAGACTTTCTGAAAACATTCCTTCTAGTTTAGGATGCCTCTAGCACACTTGTAATAAATTCAGCAATAGAGAAGAGAGAACATGTTTTTCATAAGGTAGGATTTTCTCTAGTACTTCAGCTTTTCTTCTTCCTTTAGAAAAAAAATAACCACAAAAAAAAACTTTAGAGCATTCATAACTGTTCCCACTTTAACTTGTATCCAACCTAGGCAGGACCAAGTTGAGTTTCAGAGATCAATAAAAGAATCTCTTTTAAAAGGTGGTTCCCAAAGGCTGAACCTATAAAGCACCATTTCTGCAGCTGTTGAGGTGAGCAGCGCGTTGGCCATCGTTCCCCTGAAAACACTCTAAAGGCCTGTGTGTGAGTTTGAGGAGGCAGATCTGCTCCCGGTTGCTTTCCCTATCTAGGGGCAGGTCATTAGACCAAACACCATGCAGAGCCAGGTAGTGATGGGATGCCCAGGGATGAGGGGGCCTACAGGATGCAGCACCTTGCACACTCCAGCTCGTGGCCATTTCCCCAGAGTATACCCAGAGTGAGGCAGAGCAATCCATCAATCTCTGACAGCTTTTGCAAGTTGGACAGTGTTTCTCAATCTTTCTTCTGTCTTTTGACAAAGTCTCCATAGTGCTGTCTCCTCCTGCCCATTCCACTGACCCTGCGACATCTAGTCCTTCAGGTTGCCAGAGTGTGTAAATTGGTGACTGGATATTTAACACGTAATTCAGAGTCAAGAGACAGGGCCTTCTCTCCACACCAGAGACAGTAAACCAAAGAGTCCTGCACCCACGTGCTTTTAGCAAATGCTGCCATCCAACACTACTCAGTAGCCTCTGGACCCCAACAGAGTGGAAAGGCAGGACTTTGCTGGTGCAGGAAGGTGCAGAGTGGGCTGGAGGAGGGTGCCAGCTCCTCTCCCTTCACCATGGCACGTCAGCTCTCCTCTGCTCCAGGACACAGGGGTATCCACTGCAGAGGTTTCTCTGGGACAGGCTAGCCAGCGGGATAGGGTTGCACTGCTGCCCGTTAGCATATCGGGCTGTTGCCACTCTGCTGCCCATGATAAGTGTCCCCAAAGAACCTATAAATAAATAACTAAACAGCCTGCCTCATGCATCTTAATTATTTGTGGGCCAAGAAGACAGGAAAATTTTTGAGGTGGCCCTGCCTCCCCTGGAGGTCCAAGCAGTGTGTCCTCCAGACACTGAAAACCATGCAGCAGCGCTTCCATAAACCAGCAGCACATTGAGGCACATTATGCACATTAAAAGCAGTGAAAACCAGCATCTCTGGGGGGAAAGAGGGACAAGGAGGCTAAGTCCATGTTAGGCCATTTCACAGCATCCAGAAGGAGCCCAAGTATCTGCCTTGTCATCTGGCATAGCTCACACCACTGGGAAGTGACTTCCACTGGTGTGGGATTCCTGCTGTGCATGGGGGCTACCTCTACAGGTCCTCCCATCTGGGACTAGAATTGGCTATCTGTAGCTGATATAGCAGTGATATATTTAATTAATAGGTCACATAGTTTAGGAACAGCGGGATGCAACTTCGGAAAAGTTGGATAAGAAAAATTAGAGATGATATCTGGGCCTGTGAGAATGGTGGTGATGCTCACAAACATGAGAAAACTCTGACTTGGCCCTCCTTCCCTAAGGGAGTCTGGGTAAAAGAAGGCTCATTACTACCTCCATTTTCTGTAGTCGTCTCAGAATTTAGTATCACTGTAGGGCTGCCCTTGCACAGAATGAATTTCAGATTTACATAGTCACAATGCTCATTTGCAGGTGATGTCATCCTGGAAGAACTGCAGATACCCTAAATAGGTGCCATAGCTGTTTGTTCATTTTCTGCTGCTGGCTGGTGAATATGGATCAAACACTCAACCCATGCAACATGTGCTGGTACTTAAGGCAATGCAATATTCCCACAAATGCTACATTTCAGATGGCATCCTATAATAACACTCTAACGTGGAAGAGAGCTCACTTAGTAGTACTGTTTAATGAAGCCGTTTGAATTTTATAGCTCATACATGATTAATTGCTGTGAATATTCCTAGCAGAGAAGGTCTGATCTTCTTCCCTTCACAATCAATAGTAGTTTGTCTATGCTGACCTCACTGAAAGCAGGACCAGTCTGTATTTTACTGTGGCCATTTATAGTATCCAAAGTAGTCCAGAAGGGAGAGGATGCAGGGCATCTGGTTCCATTGCTGTTCTGAGAGATCAGAGATGACCCTGAAGCACACTGGTTGATGGCCCCACATGTTTTTCTGAATACATCAGACACTAGTTAGGGAGGAGAGGGGTGGTCTTCTGCCATGGCAAGTTTCCAGTTAAAATATCAGCAGACTGGCTATATGAGAGAGAATGAACCAGGATATTCTTAGCCAATTATACTCTGAATTCTGGTTCCGTGTTTATTCTGAAAATTCCCATGACTGTTACAAATGGGAATCTTGGTGTAACACAGAAGCCTTGCCTCCTTGACTAAGGTCAATTCGGTAAGGGAAAGGGTGGATGATACTGCCTGTGCTATGCAGAAATGTGGTTATTCCCAATCAAAACCTACGAGGTATTGTTTGTCATATTAGACATGGACCAGTTGTCACACTTTTTTCTTTTACTGGCCTTTAAAAATACCTACAAAGTCATTATAAATAGACCTTCTTCCATTCAAGATGGCAACTTCATCCCTTTGCTGAGGGATGTAATTTTCAATATGTGCACTTGAAATGCAGCCAAGTGGAATCCAAATGTCACAACCCAACTGGACAAGGACCAGCCCCACACTTTGCAAAAAGCCTCCATAATATTGCAGTGGGGAGCCGGGTCCAATTTCTTTCAGAGCCCATGAGGTACCAGCTGCTGGGGCGCAGCTGGGCCTTCCCCAGACTTCTGAGGCTGACACTCCCTAAAGCATGAGCCTCTTTGCAGCCTTTCTTCATTTTTTACATGTGGGCTTAATTTAAACAATTTTTTTATTCCACTTCTGCTCATAAAAATTAATCCCCTCCTGGTATGCAGGCTGCATTCTGTGCATGAAGCTATTTCACTGCATGGTGAAGTAACCTTCCAGCTTTCCGTGGTGTCAGAAAGCTGACACCTCTTGATTTTCCCCTCCTAGACCCATCTATTGTTATTGACTTCAAGCTCCT